GAACATGACTGCTCCCTGGATTTGTAAAACTTACACGTTTTACAGCTATGAATAGCTATGGCTTGGCTTCACCTTGTAGAAGATTTCCATCACTCTTTAAAGATATCAACAACTGTAAATGGATAAGGTTTGGGGTTTTTTTTGAGGCGCCAGCGATAAAATAATGCCTATATGCCCGGCTTTTAGGGTTCCCAAAGGCAATCTCGTCGGCTGTTGACTTTCGATTTACTCAGCGGGAGGATTTTTATGCGTTTACTCCGACTTCTCAGCGAAGAAAATGAAAACAAAAGAGATCCCGGAAAAAAAAAAATCTTGCTTAAAACCAGCGGCAGTACAATTGCTGTTCTGCAATGGCAATCCACTACTTCCTTCAACCTTATACATTCACTTTTGGGAGGAGGGGGAGGCACATGAAAGAAAAAGCGACCTTTAAGACATCTGAGTTAGAATAACGCAGAGCCTATCGATTAAGTTTCGTCTCTGAATTCAACAGACGTAATCCCTACTCGCTGTCCGATCCCAGCATATACTACCAGCAGACCATATTCTTCTAACGATGCGGTATCACAAACTATAGCGCCAAACCACCTGAGCCGGGCGATCAAGCAGCGCTCTCAGCCAGGCTTTAATCTTTATGGCATCACAACGCCATAAAGGCCTTTCTATATGACCTGGCAATGGAATTCACGGACATTTCTTTATTCCCAGCCCTGTTTTATTAGAAAGGGGAACCCAAACGCTGGAGCTTACCGGCTGCTGCCATTCTCCCACCTTCGTCTCTTGTCAGACGCAGCTCTGCCTGACAAGCTGATGCAACCAAGAGCGTTTCCGGAAGCATAGCTCCACCTCCGATCGTCACTTCTGGTGGGCGCAGGGTAACCTGGCAATGTGCGGTCAATGCAGTCTTGAAAAGGCAGGACCAAGTACTGTGCAATATCAATAATATGTGCAGAGGGGCACAACAACAACAACAAAACACCCGTGCATCGGCACCAAGTAGGCATATGTGACACTTGTTGCGAGCCAGGAGATTTTCGAGGACATAAGCTGAAAGAAACCGATCCAGCATTATAGGCGCAAATTGGCTTGATTTGTTCGATTTTACAGGATCTCGTTCATCTATTCCTTTTATTGGCTAATTGTTTAGTATTCTACTATTCCTTTAGAGTTAGAGCAACCTAGATTTTAAAAGACGTTTGCTTTGTATTTTGGAGAGTATTCAAACTCCACTGATACTTCTTTGTGCTCTTCATTTAGTTTTTAAACTTTAGTTGTTATGATTAGGTCAGCCAGATGTTTTTTTCTCATCCAAGTCCTTCCAAAAGACTGGGATAAGCAGATGTTTAATAATATTACAGGCAAGGCTGCCTTTAGTAACTGATGGTGATTTTGTCAAGTGGAGAACCGGATGTTTTGGAACTGCATCAATAGCGCCTATTGCCACTGGTATTACCTTGCTTTCATTATTACAGTTGGTCACAGTCAGCCATATGCTTAGAGGATTTGATATTTTTATCCACCTATCCAATGCTTCCCAAGGACCAGGGATAGGCAGATGTTGTTTGATGCTGTTGATAATAAAAGTATCATTACAGAATATAAACTGTTTGGGGTAAAGCTGCCTTTTGCAATTGGCTAATGGTGATTTATAATATTATTAAAATTAGTTCAGATGCTTTGTATCTGAGCAAATCAAGTCTGCAGGTTTTCCTCCCAAAGATAAAGCTGTTTTCCAATCAATAGATTTTCCTTTTCTTAAATAAGTTTTTATGATCATGTATCTTAATTTAGCATAGTTTTATAAATAAAGACAGCCTGGATTTATTTTTATCAGTATTTACTATTATTTGACTGAACCATTATTCAACTTTGTTCTGTCTCTTGGCATCTCACAATACAAGCAATATAAAAATAACAATTTACAGAATAAATAGATAGCAAATCTCATCAGTAATACATGCGTACACCAACTGGGGGCACAAGTACTGTAGCCCAAAACATGGGAGAAGAAACCTGCTTTTAGACACAAATAATTCGTTTATTATTTTATGCTTTTCTGTGTAATGCTTTAAATTTTCTTCCACATAATTTTTACATTTGCAATTTATTACAAGTTTAAGCTTACCTGGCATGTTGTTCTGACTGTAAAGGGAATTGTTGGGATTCGGCTACTTTTATAGGAACCTTCTCAACCACAGCAAAGGTTAAAATAGCACCTCTGCTTATCTAGCCCACAGGTTTGTTATTAAGATATAATTTGAAACCTACAAAATATTAATTCTGTTTGCTCAACACATTTATCCCTTCTTAATATAATTGTGACCCAGAATAAAATTGGTGGCATAAACATTTCTAAAAAACATTAATTAACCTAGTATTATAGGCTTGTATGATGCACTGAACCATAAGGTATGTTTACATAACACACTAGTCTAGAACGTGGCTGGTTAGTTTGTTTCCATGTTTCCTGGTAGAATCAAACCCATTTAAGGCTGTAATCAGTTTTATCACACTGGTTTTGCTAAACTTGGAACTCCATGAACTCCATGTTGTTTTTTCTCCTGCCTTTTGAAATCCATACTACTGTGTACCACACTTTCATTTTGTTAGGCTGAGTAAGAAAAGAGCGAGAAATATTAAGCCAGAAAAATTGAAGGTGTGAGGTAAGTGAAAGAATGTTAAGACTAATCTATTGCAGCACCATTTATTGTATTTGTCCTATCCTTAGAAACTGTCCTTACTGCCTTCTCAGCTTTTTTCAGGTTTTCATCATCCCCATCCAATCTCAACTTTTTCCATCCCGTTTATGATCTATATGATCAAACATCTCAATATATTTCTTTTTTAATATTGGTCATTCACCTTTGTATTCACAGTTGCTACTATTGAGGAAGATACCACCTGTCCTATACTATACCTGTGCATTTAGTTTTTCTTGCCTAAATATAGAACCTTAGTTTTTTCACCATTGAATTTCATTTTGTTAAATAGCGCCCAATGTTCAAGTCTGTATCTTAAGCCTATCTTCTGGAGTGTTGGCTATTCCTGCCAGCTTGGTGTCATCTGCAAATTTGATGAGTTCCCCATCTATCCCTCATCCAAATCGTTGATGAAGATGTTGAAGAGCATTGGGCCCAGTACAGAGCCCTGTGGCACCCCACTACACACTTCCCTCCATGTAGATGCAGTTCCATTGAGGACCACATGCTGAGTATGGCCGGTCAGCCAGCTACGAATCTGATGGTGATGCTGTCTAACCCACATTTTTCTATCTTATCCAGCAGTAGGTTGTGGTCTACTTTATCAAATGCCTTACTGAAGTCCAAGTAAATTATATCCAATCATTCCTCTGGTCCACTAATTTTGTCACATGGTCAAAGAATGCAATAAGATTTGTCTGGCATGATCTGTTTTTGACAAATCCATGTTGGCTTTTGGTAATGACTTTGTTCGCTGATTCGCTGCTTGATTATCGTTTCTATTTAACAGTTAGAAAATCCACAAGCAGGTTTCTCATAAACTTATCTATTGTCTCTAATCAGAGCAGTTCATTTTGCCATCTCTGCTAATTCAGTCAATTTTAAAATCCACTCTTCGACAGGCAGCATCCCTCTTTCCTTCCAACGTTTAAGATATACAATCCTCGCAGCGGTCACCATGTAAAGAAATAATGTCCCAAACTGTTTATTTCCAGTCACGCAATTTTTCCTAAAACTCACCTGTGGCTCTTCAATGGACTCAAACACAACGGTTATCAATCTTATTACAATACAGATGACATTTGCCGCTAATTACTTCTAATGGAGATATTATCTAAGAGACTGAATCTTTTTTCTTATAGAACATTAGTTACTTTGTTTGTGAACTATGCTATGATGCCTCCTTAAATTATTTTTTCAAAGTGAGAAAAATATCCATTGTTTTCATTGTGTTCCAAAATAATAAATCAGAACAAGTTAGCTCTAAGAGCAGTTAATAATTTAAATTCTTACATTCAGAGGTCCAGTAGGTAGCTTTAAGTAAGCATATTTCTTATATAAGTAGTCCTTGATTTACAGCCACAATTGAGCCCAAGAATTCTGTTTCTAAGCAAGCCCATTGTTAAATGAATTTTCCCCATTTTACAACCTTTCTTGCCAGTTGTTAAGTGAATCATTGCAATCGTTAAGTTAATAATAACAAGGTTGCTAAGTGAATCTGGCTTCCCTATTGATTTTGCTAATTGACAGGTCCCAAAAGGGGATCACATGACTCCAGGTCACTGCAGCCGTCATAAATATGAGTCAGTTGCCAAGCGTCTAAATTCTCATCACGTGACCAAGGGGATGCTGTGAATGAAAAAGCCATAAATCACTTTTTTCAGTGCCATTGTGTCTTCAAATGGTCATTAAATGAACTGTTGTAAGTCAAGACCTGTCTTCAGTGCAAGGTTGATTTTTTTCTATCACCTCTCAGTTCTGAGATTCAGGGGGTTTCCTCCCTAGCATTCAGGATAGTTTTCAAGCGTATATAGAGTATTAGACGACATCATAATTTATTCTGATAGCAGAACATCTGTTAAGTGTAATGATACAATCCCAAATATCCCATATATGGCATAATATTCTAAAACTTTTCCTATGGTGCTTTTTTTTGTAACTGGTATAATTTTCTTCCAAAATTAAGAGTAATTATAAAAACTCTTAAAAAATGTTTGGTGCTCAGTGTAGAATAATGAAATTGTGTCCTAGTAATAAATTTAATAGGTGACAAGCTTTACACTAAGCAATAATCTGGTTTGTTTTCGCACTAGCATAAGGTAGGAAGCCAATGATGGTGACTATGCAGATCACTAGTTTATTCAACAAACCCTAGCTTCACATATGTATTCCTAGCCAAACTATGTGGAATTCTTGGAAATGTACAAGTGCTATCCAAACTATTCAAAATTATTCCTTGCTCTGCTCCATTTTCATTTCATTCCCTGGCTCAGTTTCCCATTTACATACATAATAAAGGAATCAGAACTTATTTTTTTTATTAGAAAATATGTACAAAAGATAAAAAAGTCAGAGACATTGCACACATTCAGTATCTCTTTGTATATAAGATCACAAAGGAAGTATTACAATCCATCAATCATTTCATGATATGGAAGCAAATACAAAGTTCCAGCCAGATTCCACTGGGTTATATTTTCGGATGGAAGTCTTACATACTCAAATTCTCCTTGTCCAACAAGTCACATGATTCTAACTCCGTAGAAAACTATTATGTCCATTTTCAGCCTGCTATATGTTAGCAATTCACGTAATATAAATTACACTGAATTTTGGTCACAATAGCATTTTTATAGAGGACAGTACAGAACCATACAATTTCCAAACACTGACCAAGTTGTTGCATTATTCATTGTAAATTTTGTATATTGCAAAATTTACCCGCAGAGAGATGCAGCATTTCATTTCCCAAGTGGGATCCATATTTCTTTTAACAACTGTGTTGTCAGTTTAGACATCCTCAGCCAAGGCAACATGCACTAAAATAAATTGATGCATAAAAAGCCAGACTATTCTCTGTCCAGTTTTTGTGTAGTCAAAAATAAAGGAAAACTTTAGGCTTCAGCCTCCATTATTACTAAATCTTTGCTTTTTAGTTCATTTAATAGATTTTCATAAATACCATTAAGGTTCATTTCTTCCAGGCCTGCAAATATTTTCTGAAAAGCAGCAACAACTCCATTCCTGTCTCGCAAAGTTTTTAACAGCTGATAATGCTGCTCATCAACATTTTGAGCATTATCATGGATAATGTTCTGTATGTCATTGTCTAATAAGCCACATTTCCTCATAAGTTGTTTCCAGTAATTTGATCCCAACATGTCCTTTATTTGAAAATAAGTATCTTCCAATGCTGCAATGCAATAAAAATATGTGTTAGATTTAAAAAATGAACTACATGGTTCACATACTTATATAACTTATGCTGCAATTTAAGTTTACTGACCTTCAGGACAAACTTCACATTTTTCTTTTCATGGCTTTCTGCTGCATTGGCTGAACTTTTAATTTTCAAAAGGGTGCATTCTTTCCTCTCTTTTTTTAAAAAAAAGTATGGGCCAACCTCCCCCAATTCAAGCCATTTAAAATAGGTTACAACAATTAAGATAATTATTTGCCTATAATAACAAACAGCAAAATAATTTTTAAAGAGGCACTAGTGGAATAATAACTTGTTAGAATAAAATTATCTTTCCTACCCAGAGAGAAGACAAAGAAAGGGCTATTCAAAGCCATAATAATAATAATAATAATAATAATAATAATAATAAAGATCGATGGCACAATGGAAGACACAGTTGCAGATCAATGGTGAGAGACTGGGAGAGGTTAATATCAAGAGAGGAATATTTCAAGGAGATTCATTATCACCATTACTATTTGTTATTGCACTGTTTCCTCTGTCAACAATACTGAATAACTCAGAACATGGCTATCAAACATCAAAAACATCTGCCAGACTATCCCACCTCCTTTACATGGATGATCTGAAGCTGTATGGAAAAACATCATCTGAAATAGAATCGCTGCTCAACACTGTCCGTATATATAGCCAAGATATTGTATGGAGTTTGGCTTGGACAAATGTGCCACACTTACTATCAAACAAGGAAAAATAGTGAAAACTGAAGGAATCAAGATGCCCCACAAAAATAACATTAAGAGTCTGGATGAGGAAGAGTACTACAAATACTTGGGTATCCTTCAAGCTGACAACATCAAGCACACTGAAGTCAAGAAAAAGATTAGAAGTGAATATATCAAGAGAGTGAAGAAGATCTTAAAGTCCAAACTCAATGGAGGAAATACCATAAAGGCAATCAACACCTGGGCAATCCCAGTCATTAGGTACACAGCTGGAATAGTGGACTGGACTCAAGCAGAACTAAAAGCAATGGATAGGAAGACAGAAAAATAATGACAATGAATCATGCCCTTCATCCACGCAGTGACATTGACAGACTTTATCTACCAAGGCAAATAGGTGGGCGTGGAATGCTACAAGTACATCAAGATGGTTGAAGAAGAAAAACTGTCTTTGGAAGAATATCTGAAAAGCAATGATGAAGATGCACTGAAATTAGTATATCAGGAAGGCTTACTGACTATGAAGACACCAAACTGGCCTACAAGAAAGACCAAATGAAGAACAGAATAGAGGCATGGGAAGACAAAGCACTACATGGCCAATACATTAAAAAAATAGCTGGGAAAGCAGATAATAACAAAACCTGGCAATGGCTAAGAGCAGGAAAATTGAAGAAAGAGACCGAGGGACTAATTCTGGCTGCACAAGACCTAGCCTTAAGGACAAATGCATACAAAGTCAAAATTGAGAAGACAGCAACAAACAGTAAGTGTTGCCTATGCAAAGAAACAGTGGACCACCTAGTAAGCTGTTGCAAGAAGATTGCACAGACTGACTACAAGCAGCGGCATGACAAAGTAGCAACAATGGTGCATTGGAAGATCTGCAAAAAATATCATTTGCCTGTAAGCAAAAACTGGTGGGATTATAAAATAGAGAAAGTCATAGAAAATGATAAAATTAAACTGCTCTGGGACTTCAGAATTCAAACAGATAAGCACTGCAACATAACACCCCAGACTTAGCAATTGTCGATAAGAAAGACAAAAAAGTCTGGATAGTGGACGTGGCAGTGCCTGGAGACAGCAGAATAGACGAGAAAGAACTGGAGAAGATAACAAAATACAAAGACCTACAAATAGAAATAGAAAGACTGTGGCAAAAGCAAGCAAGGGTAGTACCAATAGTCATAGGCTCCTTGGGTGCAATCCCAAAACAACTGGAGCACCACTTTAACACCATTGGCATTGACAAATTTGCTATTAGTCAATTGCAAAAGGCGGCCTTATTAGGAACTGCTTCCATCCTGCGACGATATCTGTAATACCATCAAACATCCACATCTGCCTATCCCAGGTCCTGGGTAAGGACTCGATAGGTAGACAAAATTCCAAATCCAGTCTGAACATCTGGCTGACTGTGCGATGATCGATAATAATAATAATAATAATAATAATAATAATAATAATAATAATAATAATAATAATAATAGTAGTAGTAGTAGTAGTAGTAGTAATAGTAATGATGAGGTTGGAAGGGACCTTGGAGGTCATCAAATCCAACCCCTTGCTCAGGCAGGAAACCCTACACCATTTCGGACAAATGGCTATCCAGTCTCTTCTTAAAAACTTCCAGTGTTGGAGCATTCACTGCTTCTGGAGGCAGGTTGTTCCATTGGTTAATTGTTCTAACTGTCAGGAAATTTCTCGTTAGTTCTACATTGCTTCTCCCCTTGATTAGTTTCCATCCGTTGCTTCTTGTCCTGCCTTCAGGCGCTTTGGAGAATAGCTTGACTCCCTCTTCTTTGTGGCAGCCCCTTACTTACAGAATTAACAGAACAATTTTTCCTCCAGATCTTAAAGTGATGTTCCAGCACCAAATATTTTTCACACTGAGTTATTTGGAATTATATATTTCAGATCAATAGCTTTATCAAAATAAACTATATACGATTATTAAGATGAATTTTCACTGTAAATTGCAATTATAATTTGCAATCAATAGATGCTATAAAATAACTCTATTATAGTTAGGAATGTGCAACCATAAATTTGGCTGAGATTATCACACAAGAGCAGCAGCTATAGCACATACAGATCCATATAACATTCCACAACACAGCAAAAATCAGAGAATGCACTACTATGTGAGTGTACTGTTTCATCTCCACATACACAAGGCAGGATGCACAAGTTATTCGAGGCTGGTGTTCTATCTCAGACCGAAAAAAAGAAGTAATGACTCCAGCGTCCTTGCCTTTCATTCCTTCTACGTGTAGAATACTCAGCATTCAACCCTTATGTTAATTTCCACATCATCATCATCATCATCATCAACAGGATCTGTTTTCTAAAAAGAGATAAACTGAATACAAATTTCAGCTTCCTCATTTAGCTCCCAACAACAATCTCCACTATTCTGGAAGATCCACCAGTCTTCTAAAAGAGCTTTTCAAGGGGACGTATAGGAGAAAGAAAAAAAAATGCAACGATGAGAACATCCTATGAGCAGAGTTCTACATATGGCCTAATTCCCCAACCTTTCTGGCTTTCTGGAAGAGTGGAGGGGGTGTGTGATTCTGCATGAGCTGCCAGCAAGCACGTACAGCTCCATTTGTGCAAGTGACAAGCATGTGCATCCGCCACTTCTGCAAATGGCACCATGCACTCACCCACCATTTCTGCAGCCTTGTTGCGAACACTCACAGCCCAATAGTGGGCCGTGATCCGCGGGTTGGGGACCCGTGACTTATGAGAACTAAGAATTGAACTAATGGAATTAATACTTCAAGAATATTTCAAGACAGAGACATTTAAGTATCCCCTTGCAGTCAGAAAGGGAATCATTACGTCACTCTTAACATGAAATCCAATGAATGCATGACTTACATACTTGCTCAAGAGGCCTCTTTCTTTTGCTATTTATTTAATTTAGGAGATTAATTTATCAGCAATTGAAAATGTAATTTAAATATGAATTCTTAACATTTTTTTTGCACTTGGGTTACAAATGTTCGATATGATTTATTGGATGATAACCTATAAAACAATTATTTGAACTACTCACTTTTCACGGGAGAATCTTTAATCCTTACTGCAGGTTTGTTAGATCTCCGTACCTGAAAAAGATTTTACGAAGGATGATCTACTTCTCTGTTGTAATGCAAAGTATTTTAAAAAAGCATACAAGTTGACTCAACACAGCAAATTGTTTTGTTTTTTTTAATAGATTAAACAGAGAGTGAGAGTAATAGTGAAATAGTGAAATTTATTCAATGGATTCCAAAGTGCACTTGACAAATTTTAAGCAACCTTTCTGTTTCTCAGATTCTACTTAAACCTCTCACAAAGAATATGATTCAACATAAGATGATTCCAATCTGTTTTTGGACAAAAATTATACCCCATTTAAAAAAAGAGAGGAAAAAGTACAAATCATGTATTACATGCTATGTCGAAAGCAAACAAATCACATCATAGTGATGAACTTCCAGACTAATAGGCTGTGATCTAATTATCTGATATCCCGAAATTTTGCCAGCAACCGCGACTGGCATCTTCAGATGTAAAGTGAGCTCGTTCAGTTCCTGCTCAGCTGCCTGTAACAAGAAGTACACTTCACAGCAGATTATTTTGCCTCTGAAAATGCCAGACATGGTTGCTGGCAAAATGTCAGGATATTGATATGCTGCCTGTTAGCCTGGAAGCTCATCACCACTACATTGACAATGGCCGTAAAAGCCTGTATGAAAACCACATTATAGTTTAGTGTAAGTTGTTGACCAGATCTGTAAGTGGGAAACTACTATAGATAAACCTGTTAACTTTTAAGAAGGCTCTTCACCCTTTTTACTTAATAGAAATTTTAATGATGATTATCTCTCTGGAACCCAGTAACAAAGTTTGTGCAATATGTTTCTTTATGAAGCTAATCCAAAATAATATGCAAATCCCATGTCATGAAAATAAGTGCGTCTTTCCAGGTAACCATAGAGGCAAAGAGGGTGAAGCAAGAATGTTCATCTAAAATGTTGGTATTTTTTCCTTGTGAAATAAAAGATGGTGTGAAATTAATTAGCATTCTGCTGGAGAATTCTGAAGGAATCCTTAATGGAAACTGCAGAAAATGCTGGGGCCAGGGCAATGCATCAGAAAAGAATAGTTTTAAAATAATAACTATAAAAGAACATTCTACCAGGAATTTTTGGGCAGAGCCGTAAGTTTTTACGCTTTAAGCTGTTTTGATACTTTGCTTCTAAAAGGAATATACCAATATTTGCTAGAAACACTTGGATGCACAATAAGAATAACTCCACAAAACTTTCCTGTCCTCAATGAAATCATATTTGGGAGGGGTTTTTTTTTATCTTTAAAGGCTGCAGTTACTTTATAAAGTTCACTTTAAGGGATAGGATGGCAAAAAAGCAGATAATAAAGAGGCGGGTATCAAGGTCAGAAGTGTTTTCTTACATTCTAACTATGAATCTCAAAACCATGTTTCTTATGGCATCTCTAAGTCCATTTTCATTTTGACTACATAGAATAACAATGGACAAGCACAATTGTGGAGGCAAAGGCTTGGGTTAAAGCACAGAGCGGCAATGAAGGGGAAAAATTACAGGTCCAAAGTATGAAGAATGCAAATGTTGTTACTAATATCACAGTTCTTCTAAAGAGAAACATAGAAATGGACTTTGAGGATTGCTGGAGGCAAAACATTTGGTGGCCATTTTGAGGCCAGAATGCCTCAGGAAATATTTCTTCCCATAAAATTGCTCAGGACCTGTCAAAAGTGATCTTAGTTCTGATACTGGCACATGGGTTTGGATTTCCTTTGTGAAATCCAGTCAGCATAGCAGATAAAAGCAAAAAGAATTAGTGTTTTTACTGCTTAATGTTTCCCTGTATCTAGTTATCTCCAGCCATGGAAACAAAGCAAATTCGTAGTGTGGCAAATGGCTTTGCCTTTGCAAGACAAAAGCATCTAAATCCTTCCAACATCTATTGTTAGAATCCTATTATTTAAGCAGGTGCTTTTATTATACATTACTGTATTGCGCCCTCTGCTGCTATTTTAAAGTACTGCAAGTTTCATCTGGTATTTTTAGATGAACCGTTATAATGATCGTTCTCTAACCTGTCTCGTATGTTTTTATGGCTGTACAAAACTTCAAGGGGTTGCTTTCCTTCAGTGAATATCAGTGTGAACCATCATTTTTTAATCTGCTTTAAAAAGCCACACTTCTCTGCTGGCTACTAAAATTAGAAGTAACGCTGCTACTTTGCCTCATTTCCAAGGCTTCATCCAGCACTTTCAGTAGCCAAAAGAGGCTTGTCCACATGTGCTGCTTATACAGAGAAGCTTCTTCAGGCCATCTGTCAGAAGAGACCATGAAGCAGCACAAACCACTTTGAGGAGAACTCAAAGTTGTTTCTGTGGCACATAATGTTTTCTCAAAACAGAACAGAGTTGCCTCACACAGGCTTAATATAATATAATATAATAAAAGGTCGCACTGTAAATGAACACATACTATTTCAAACTGTTCTGCTACAGAAGAACTTACAGAACAGTAGCAATTATTAATTATCTAGCAATTTTCTACTGAAATATACCCACATCATTTCTTCCACTGGACTGCCCATTCGAACAAGCAACCTCACGTAACGATGAAACAGATGGCCTATCTGGAAGGACAGAGTCTTGTTCTCTATTGCCCATCTCTAAATTCTCTCTCTCAGCAGCTTCAGACAGTCTGTCCTCAGAAGCAGCAGGAGCTTCAGTTGCAGAGTTTACATTCTCGTTACCAGGTATCTGAAAAATAAAGATACTGCTGCATTCGCTGGGTTTTCAACCACCCCATTTGCTCACAGACAAAGATCCCCGTCTCCTCAAGGTCTCTGTTTGAATAAAAGGTGTTTGAGCATCTATGGAACCCTTGGAAATGCAGCAATTCACTGTGTTTTCAAGTGTTGCATTTGCTCACAGAGGAACTGCCCGTCTCCGTTCAGATAAAAGGTGTTTGAGCACATAGGGCAATGATGGCGAACCTTTTAGAGACCGAATGCCCAAACTGCAACCCCAAACCCACTTATGTATTGTCGGGTGCTGGGTGGGCATGGCCCATTGGCTGGGCGTGGCTGCGGTGGTAACGGCAGACTGGATGGGACTAAAAAGTTCAATCAATCAATTCTAACTTTGCGAGATCTTTTTTTTTCCCCACGAGAAGTTGCAACTGATTGCTTGATTGAACCTTTTTTTTTTTAACATGGCGGCAGAGGCTTAAAGTGAAAAGGTTTTATAAAACCCAGCTGAAGGCCTAGGACTGGGGCAACGGTGCGCGTGCCCACAGAGAGAGCTCTGCGTGCCACCTGTGGTATGTGTGCCATAGGTTTGCCACCACAGACCTAGGGACACTTGGAAACGCAGCGAATCACTGTATTTTGAATAGTCCCATAGGCGATGAAACACTTTTTATCCGAATGGAGACCTGACAGAGATGGAAAGTTCCGTGTGACTGCCAATGAGGCGCTTCAGGAATGGAGCATTCCTCTGTTTCTGAAGCATCCCATTGGTAGTCACATGGAGCTTCCCATCTCTGTCAGGTCTCCGTTCGGATAAAGTGTTTCAGCAGCAGTGGCTTGGATTTCTCCACTCCCTCTGAGTGGAAGAAAGCAGAGGCACAGAACAGGATTGCTCTCAATAAGGTTGGTGTACGCGAGCAAGCAGTGTACCCACGTCTTCTTGAGCAATCCTGCTGTGCCTCTGGTTTCTTCCTTTCAGACGGAGTGGAGAAACTCAAGCTGTTGTCACCGCTTGAGTTAAGAAGACAACAAGGAGAAGAGTGGTCAGGATTTAGGCTACCGGCTGGTCAGGCAAGGAGTAGGTTGGGCAGGCTGAATGGCTGGCTGGGGAGAGGAGATCGTGGCTGCTCAGGTGGCCGCCCCTGCCGCCACCAGCAGCTTAGACACAGGTGCAAGGAGACTTGCCCCACAATGGCTCCCGGCTCAGTTGAAGGCTTCATTCCTACCCTCAAACTAAGGCAGGCACATGTGAGCGAGCAGCGTGCCTGGGCCGTGGATGGCATTGGTTCCTGCGCCCGGCCAACTCCGATTCCACGCTTTGACCCATAGGCAAGCAAACAAAGCAAAAACTTCCCCCACCAGAATGGAAGCTTCCAGGGGCCATGATCTCTTTTCAACTTGCACGGTATTACAGCACCCAGGAGCTTCCATTGTCAGCGCGAAAAGCATTAAGCCAACTCTAATCTCCCTCAAAGGAAAAGAAACCACAGCAGAGAGGATTTTTGAAGGTGAGTCCAGCATGGCAGGAAGGGAGGGGGAAGCATGATCTTAGTGGGTCAGAGAGGCCTTGGGGGTCTGCTCCATCGCTAGGCCCTCCATGGCCTTCCCCACCCTGGGATACCTCATGTGCACTTAACAAACCGTGCATTCGCCCAGGCATTCAATTAGCGAACGCATGGGCGAAAGCAGGGAGTGATCTTGTTCACTCCCAGGATTGTTTGAGTTACGAATGGAATGGACAGGCTCTGTTACATTCATAACTCAAGGACTATCTGTATTTTTCTTTTCTTATTCAGTTTTGTTTTTAAAGTTTTTTTTTAAATAATGGTTTTAGGTAACTATTGTTTTATCGGATTGTTGCATCCCACCCAGAGTTGCATTTTATGAGATGAAACGGCCACATAAGTTTGATTAATTAATAATTAAATAATGCAATTACAGTAAAAATAGACAGTTGCTCTAACCTGAACATCAACCGAACATCTAAGAATCACCACAGACCTAATAAAAACAGGGCCATTTTGATGACTGCAGAAAATCAGTGAGGAAAGCATGAGTGCTTCCCTGGGTTATGATGTTCCAAAACAGAGGGACAGCCACAGAGAACGCTGGCCTACACATCCTTCAATCTTCACTCTTTGCAGTGGAGGGGTCCTAAGCAACTGCTTCCTGCCCAAATGCACAGGCGAGGCAGATTTCACTTGGAGCAGATGGATCCCAAGATAATATGGAGCTAAGCCACATAGGATTTTATCAATGGCAAACCAGCACTTTGTTTTGGGCTTGGAATCTAATTGGTTAGCCAATGTAGTGACTGTAGAATTGGTGTTGTGACAGCAGCAGCATTTGATTGCTAATGTTCTGGTTATCTCCATGTGGCATTAAAAATTAGTTTGAAAGGAGAAAACACTGGTGTGGCACAAAGAAAGCTAGAGGTCCATGTGATGTTAGAAGCACACTTGCTGAAGATGCCGCTTGCAGTGAAGATGAAAAACAAGGCTGTTTTTCTCAAGTACATCATTAATTGGCATGGATTGTTATAAATGAAAATAAATTTCTTCACGACTTCTCAGTAGCTATTCAGACTATCAGTTTTACAGAACTAAAAACTGAGAAGAAAGCTGGCTATGTTGCTTCTTGTGAACTCCTCATCATTTTGACTGGACAGAAGCAAACTAAGAACACTAGTTATATTCCCTTAAAAAAAAAAATTAAGTACAGGATTGCTTACCAAATGGTCTGTGGATTCTTCTTTTTCTAGGGAGGCTATAGAAAAAAAATATATACATTAGCATACAGGCAATCCTCAATTAACATTCAGTCATTCAGGAGCTATTTGGTTACAATGGTCCTGAACAAGGAGAATGTATGACCAGTCCTCATAGTTGCAGATGTCACAGCATTCTTCCAATTATGTGATTGCCATTTGTGACCTTCATGGCCAGTTTTTACAAAGTCAATGGGGAAGCTGGCAGGATGTCACTAATGGTGATCACATGACTACTGAATACTGCAGCCTGATGAGATTCACCTAATAAAGGTCACTAAGACTACTCTCATTTATTTATTTATTTATGAGACTTATATACCGCTTTAAGTGCAAGCACTCTCTAAGCGGTGTACACCAGTAAGCAATGTATATATATATATATTTACATTGCCCCCAACAATCTGGGTCCTCATTTTACCTACCCGGAAGGATGGAAGGCTGAGTCAACCTTGAGCCGGTGAGATTTGAACCGCTGACCTGCTGAACACAGTCAGCTAAAGTGGCCTGCAGTACTGCACTCTAACTGCTGCGCCACCTCGGCTCTCATAAGTTGAGTGGGCCCATGATGTTGTGTCTTACGACTGTGTTGCTTAGCGATGGAATTCCTGGTACCAATTACCATCAGTAAGAGAGCAATATCTGTATCAGATCTTTGTACGGGGAAAAATTGCAAGATTCCATTGCTAAATAAGGGATCACTTATTTAAAGCTGATTTGATAACCTGAAGATTCCTTTCATTACAGCTGTTTTGTTAATAACACCAGTCTTCTATTTAAATATATAGCTAGCTATTCATTATTGTACTCCTTCCTTTGAAATTTCTGATCCTGCATTCTGCAGAAACTTTGGACAAGATTGCAACCTTACGCAACGAACCATGGGTTGGCACAAACTAGGCTAATGGGTAAGAGGAAATAAGCGAGCTTTGTCCCATGGGTGAGGATACTTTAAAAGAAAGGTTTACTTCATGTCAATATATTTATCCTAGTAATTAAGCTTTGAAACAATTAAGCATTTCTCCAATTGGCTTAGTAGGTTGTGTGAATCCGCTTATTATGTCTTACATGCTATGATTTATATTTTAGTGCAATCTGAACATCCAGCCAATTGATACTTATTCAACTAACCTTAGTTAAGCAATCTACAACTAAACATAACACGCAAATCCAACTCACAAAATAGCACACACTGTTTCCTGCTTTGGGTCTCCCAACTTTTCTGTACTTTGGTTCATTTAATATTAGATAGCAAGTTACTTCATATTTAGCGAATCATCAGGAAATTACCTTTCTTCCTTAGAGGCTTGCATTTTCTCCATATATATAAAGTCCCAACGAAGAGCACAATTCCAAATAAAACACCAATAACGATGTACATCCATGTAAATGAGGAATCTGAAGCTCCTAAAAGACAGAACAGGAAGTCTTTAAACAAATTTAGATAATGAGACTCTTATGCATATGCATTTACAACATGTCAAAAATGGAGGTTAGATTTACAGTTCATGATACACCTGTATGAACCCTGCCATTACATTTTGAAGACTGTTTATGGCTAAGCAGTTGCATGCACCCAATACATTCTTGTTTATTCAGTGAAACATAATTTGGCAAATCGTAATTTAGCGTAATGAGCAAACCCAGGCAACTGCTTTAGGGAACAAAATTAGCCAGTGCTTTAGAGAAACTAATAAATTATCCTCCGATAATAAAAATGGCTTTCATTTCTGGAGTGGAGGAAACTGGCAAAGACACAAGCTACAAGTCTCTGTCACTTCTCCCAAGACTTTTGTTTCAAGGCAAAGGAAGAGAATACATGCCTGTCCATACACATTCCCACATCCATACAGGAGATAATCTGTTGCCCTCCAAATGATTTGACTCCAATTCCCATAATCTTTTGCTGTTGATCATATTAAGACTGATTGGAGTTTAACTCCAAAAAGAAATCACTTTCCTTACTCCAAACAGGCAAAACAATACTAATGTACTAATTCTGGGAAAGAAAAATATTCTAATTATACTCTTTTCATGTACCAGATTAAGAAGCCTCTCAGCCTGGTGTTTTTTTTTTTTTTCAAAATAAACTACAGGTAGTCTTTGGGTTATGACCCTAATTGGGGCTGGAATTTTCATTAGTAAAGAAGTCCTTCAGTGAAATATTGACCCTTCCGTTTAATGACATCTGTCCAGGCTGCAATGGTTAGGCTAGGACTGCACACCGGTTAGGTGAGGACCTCACATTTCTCCTGTCCTGTGTGAACTGCCCCTCCTTCAGCATGGACAACTGCAAAACAAAATCACTTGAAGCTGGTTTCTGCAGCTTCCCCATTGTTTTGAGTTATAATACAATGCTAAACTATCATTAAATAAAAATACAGGTAGTCCTCGACTTACGACAGTTTGGTCTACGATCATTTGAAGTTATGATATTAACCTGCATGTGGTAGTCCGCATTTCATGTCTGTTGTAGCATTGCAGGGTTCCACAATCACCTGTCCTTCAGGACACCTAGAAATTAGTTGTTGTTTTTTAAAAAAAGGTAGATTGTTTATTAAAGAAGGCATATCTATTTTCTGAATGAAAAATAACAAAGCTGCCTGGGGCTTTTGAAAAGTCTCAATCAGCTCTGGAGTAAGAGTGCATCAAGGTGTTTGTTCTTCTACAATCTAGCATGTAAAAATATAAATACTTATACAGTTCAGTTTTGTTTAGCAAAATGGGATAAATTTTGCAGGCAATCTTGAGAACTGAGGGGCTGAAATATGACGAAGTTTATAGAAATTGATACAGTTCAAATCTTCTTTTTTTTAAACAAAAGCTTAACTTTCTTATTTTAGGATAAAATGGTATCCTAATTATGCCCATTGTAAATCACAGTAGGACTGACTGCTGGAGTTTGATGAGGAAGAATAACAGATTTAGTGGACTTTTCCAAAAAATAATTCAAGAAGCCTCTCCAGCAAACCTTACCCAACTGAGAATGGGACATTGGTAAAAATTAGGAATGTTCATTTAACAAATGCCTCCCTCCCCCCCAAACTGCCTCCAATGGCAAAAATACTACAAATGGAATGATGAAAAGGGGAACACTACTAAAGTCATGCTGATCTAGTTACAGAAATATTATTTCTCCTATCTACAATTACAATATTTTATACAAATCAGGAATGGCAATGTTTGAGATATGGAGCAATTCAGTGCCAATATCTTCGAGAAATCTAGTAACTTCATACAAAATGTAGGCCCAAATTTTTGTGGTCTATTTTTAAGGGTAGAAATACGAAAAGAAAGACTCTGAATGACAAAGTACCCCCACCTCCATCAATTGTGGGCCCCAAATTAAATGTTCAGTCTATTTTTAGGACTTGAGGAGGGTACTCTTGTTAAGCGCTACCCAAATTTGGCAATTTAAACAAAATTTCAGCCACATATTTTCAGAGGGGCTTCCTGCAGCTCAAAAATTGCCTGCTCTATATAAATGTTGAAACCTGCTCTTTAGTTTTGTTGTGACTCTTTGTAACACTCAGAAGTCTCCCTCCGCCCCAAATAATAGACCAATACTACAGTTTTCCAAAGGAGCCAGAATCAGAACTGAACAGATCTATGTTCTGAAAAAAAAAACTCCTTTTATTTGCAATCTAGGGATCACCTGATTTAGATTTATAAAATATATTTGTATAAATATCCAACAGAAAATATATGAGATCTAGAAATGAAGGGGACAATCTTGTGAATCTTTATTAATTTTCCATAACATATAAGTGTAATCCTTATTTTTTCTGTCTTCTGAACTTCTATTTGTCCCTTCAAAATACACTTGCAGAGACTTGTGACCAAAAGCTGTAGACTGCCTGCAGTTTGGTGTGTTGATTAAGCAAGGCAGGAAAGTACAATGTTAACAAAAACAAAACAAAAACAACAACAAGGAGAAGTGAAACAGAATGTAGGAAATTCATCACAAAAGAGTACGACCCTGCTATGCTGGTAGTATGAATTCCAAAATGTTGGGCCTTGGTAAGTAGGAATTCTCTGGACTGTTGTCCTTGCACATCTAAAGGCTACATTCTCAGACTGCTGCATTAGATCAAGAGTCCCCAACTATTGTTAAATCCGCAGCAAAAGCAGATTTTGTGGAATGTGTCAGGACTGCATATGCGAAAGTGAATAGTTTTTAAATACGCCATTCCTGCCATATTATCCAGTTCTGACATCGCTAGGGCCAATTTTATATGTTATTTATATGTAAGGGTGTAGGTCTATACATATGTTGTATATAGTATGTTTAAATGTGTGTTATGTATGTGTACACTTTGAGAGCGAGCAACCAATTTTCATTTTTAATGTGTGTCATTGTGCCCATAGTAAAAAATGACAATAAAGGTTATCTATCTATCTATCTAACACACGCACCCAAAAGTACAAATTAATAGGCTGAGCCATACAAAAGCTTTAGGAAATAGCACACATTGTACATTTATGAATAAAATGTACAATTTGAACTTCTAAAACAGCAGTAGCCATAGGTACAACTTTTAGAGCTCTTACAGATGCAGCAACTGAAGTTTTTTTTTAATGTAGCTGAAACAGAAATTAAACATGGGGAGTAATCCGATGGTATAAATCAATTAAACCAACATTTCATTCTGGAATTCTTGGCATACTGCTCAAATGCAATGGTTTTTGCCCAGAAAAGATTATATACCAATACTTGCTTTATTGTATCATTAAAACGATATTGGATTTTAACTTGGCTTTAAAAAAAACTATAAACATAATTTTTACATATTATTTTTCATCAACTGTTGGATTATTTTTTATATTGTTTATGCTGTTCTTTTAAATCTGAGTTACAAAGATGGGAACTGAGTTGGCTTCAATTATGAGCCCAGCAAAATGAACAAATGAATATAATGGCATATAAATATCACCTTAGCTTAAATGCAATCAATCTATTGCAAGTATTTATACATGTGCAATGTACTCTATCATAAAAGGGAACTGCACCATAAGTATACTAATGTACATACCGCTTCTTGCATTTCATACATTCCTCACAGCCTTGAGGACAGAAATAGCCATCATTGCACTGACATTCAGTGTTCTTCTTCCTGGTGCAAGGTGTTATTATTCTGTAACCTGAAACAGAATTTCCTAACTTACCAACATGGACAATGTTTACACACTGCTCTACAGGAAATATTAAAAATGAAACAAAATAGAAAAGGACAAAGATTCTTAAGGGGTAGATGAATGGGTTGCAGGAGTACTTTGGGGCAGGGGAAAATGAAGTTTGAGACAGCGGGCAACTAAGCTCTCAGGTTCCTAAACACAGTCCTCAGCCTAGAATCGGAAATGGAAGAGGTCATTTAGGTCACCCAATCAGTGCAGGAATCCAAATTAATATCTAACCTCTGCTTGAATATATCCAGGTAAAGGCAACTGGCTACCTCTCTGGGTGATTGGCTTAATTATGGCTTAGTTTCAGAAGCCCTGTGCAAATAGATGAATTCAAACCTTCCTTAAAAGCAAGCTGACTCTATACAACTGCCCCACCAGGCAAGGAAGAAAGGGTTGGGAGATAGAAGCCTATGAAAAATAAAGTTTATTGCTGAGATCAGGTGACTTTGGACCAAAAAAGTACCCAACCTAAACCTTATTCAGTTTAAACAAAGTTAGACATGAGGAGGTGATTGTGGTAAAAGGCTAGCAAAATTCTATGACATGTAATGCACTATAAGATTGTAGCAGAACATTAAAATCTGATGCTGAAAAGTACACAATTCAGGAACAATGTCCAAAGTGTACTGTACCAGGTTTGCATTCTTCACACGGTAAACACTTAAGTAGACCATTGTCATATTCAGTATAGTTTTCTCCATCTGTGCAGTGTTTACATATTCCCTGTGTATGTGGAGAACTGCAGTATTCTTCAACATGGGTACCTATGATATGGGATAGCAAATGAAAGTTAGTATTCAAATATATGTAGTTATACCACCAATTGTTTTCCAACCACATGTTACATGACTGCCAACTAATGAAGAATTTTCACAATGGAACCATGAGATTAATATTTGAACTAATACGGATTAATTACCAATTGATAAATTACATCTGTTCTGCTTTTTAAATTTTGTGTAATTAAGCAGCCAAGCAGAGCCAACAAAACCATTCACATTTGTGGTCAAAATCACCCAACAATATTACCGGAAGTAGAAAAGCATATAAAATACAGATTTCTCTCTGTTTCCTATAACTTGGCCCTTGTATGACTTGTGGACTTCAACTCCCAGAATTCCTCAGCCAGACATGCTGGCTGAGGAATTCTGGGAGTTGAAGTCCACAAATCATACAAAGGCCAAGTTTGAAGACCCCTGGTATAAGGGATGATCACAACTGAACACAGCAAATGATTTTTCATCCCCCAAATAATGTTTTGCCTGAATCAGGATATCCACAAAGGTTCTTACAACAATTATATTGACACTGTTGGCAGAGGAGGCAGGGCATGAGGGTAATACCCCTAAATAGTAAAAATGTGCACCCCAAATTAAGTTTGATAAATAAGTATTAAAAATAAATGAATAAAATCCATTTTATTAGTCTTGCATGAGATGTATGAGATGAATGCATTTTTACCCAGGGTCATCAATATCTCACTAGATTTGTGTTTTAAGAAATCTTTAACTGCTATGCCTTTGCTGATTCTGGCCCCTGACACACATTGGAATTCAACCATACAATTGATCAGCAGCAAATTGTATCTTGATGCCTTCACTAAAGGACAACACAGAGTCTTACTGGAAGCACAATGATAACTATGATCCATGCCCTATAAAAGCAATGGGTGACCAGGTTCCAATACTAAGCTTTGGCCATGTACTATTGCTAGATGCTGTTGCACAGTCAAGCTTACAAAATCATTCAGAAGAAGCAAGAATAAACCATCTTGTTAGTCAGCAAGGAAGTTTTGGCAAATTGGAATACAACTGCTTCTTTTGTAACAAATGGTTATTTGCCGATTCCAATCAACTGGTTTTGTCTCTTTTGCAAAGCTGGCATTGCTACTAACAAAATACCAAGCAACCTAAAAACAGTTTTCCAAGATAAAGCCAGAACTTTATTTAAACTAGATGCAGAACATATCAAAAGAGCTTTATTGATAAAATATTTAATAACGTTACCTATTATTCTAAAAAGAAGATTTAGATTTTAGATTTAGGTTTTAGATGAGTACCAGGATTTTTTTAAGCCAGTATTCTATAGCAGCAGCCCCCAAACTTTCTGACTACACAAATCGGGGGCAGAGAGGGGGGATAGACACACAACCTAGATTCCACACCTGCACAAATAAAGCTCCACATATTCAACTGCTGCTTGCACGGCCCAGTTCCCAACAGGCCGTGGAGCACTATAGACCCCTGTTCTATAGTGATTAAACTGCCTAAAATGATTTGGTGGAACATCCGTGAAGCCTCTTTGAGAATTTAGGCTGTGAAACATTGATAGATGCAGGAAACTGCCTTACAAAATGGCTGTGAATTTAAAAGGCTAAGGGGTGGGAAGATAGGGCCTCTTCTTTGGAAAAAATGCGGTATAAAATGAAGTAGTTGAAAAAAATATATATGCAGAAGTCTATGTGACTTCCGGTACCTTCTATTACTTTTAAAATGTATCAAGTTTTGTCATAGGAACTATTTCTGGCAAATGGGCAAATTGTTATTTTATTGAGGAAGCACAACCAGTTTCAGATGTACACAACAGGAAAAAAGATGCTGTAAGTAGCAAGATAATGGTTGAGACATGGCATAGGGACAATGTTAAGAGAAGAAAATTCCATTCAAATTTCATAGTTATCATATCTCAAGCAACTTGTCAAAAGCAAATAAAAATGGACAGGACAGGCTATGTATATTTTCATTAAGTTCACAAGCACTAGATTACCTAATTTAAAAATAAAATCAATTGTAGAAGGGATGTAAATGAAACTTACACCCTCTATTGTTTGATACAATTTTCCTTCAGTTTGCCTTTAATTCCAGAATTAACTTAATTGATTCCAGAATTAATTCCAGGCTTCAGACCAGAATACAAAGATGCCCATCTCCCCCTATTCTTTATTTGTTTCTTAAAATGATTACCCGTTTTCATTTTTTAAAGGATCAGGTGACAGCACTGAGTGATCTTGAACAATCTTTAAAACAAAAAAAGAAGTAGCAGCAGCTAAACAGGATCATGTTAGAACTTGAATGAGAATACGCCATAGCTTCACATGTCTAAATGCTAGGCTTGAAAGTCAAAGAACACTTCAGAAAGTGGTAATGGCAAACAATTTCCACATTATTGCAAAGAAAACATTAATATATCCATGTAATACCCATCCAGAATGTTCTTTTCGGGGGAACCTCTTTCTTTAATATGTCATAGGTCCTACAAAGTGGAACTACCATTTTCAGAATTCATAGCTGGTTGGCAATATTGGACACTGCACAGGAACAAATACAGGTAGTCCTCGACTTACAAGAGTACATTTAGTGAATGTTCAAAGTTACAACGGCACTGAAAAAAAGTGACTTACAATCATTTTTCACACTCATGACTGTTACAGCATCCTCATGATCACATGATCAAAATTCAGATGCTTGGCAACTGACTCTTATTTATGACGGTTGCAGTGCCCCGGGGTCATGTGATCACCTTTTGTGACCTTCTGACAAGCAAAGTCAATGGGGGAAGCCAGATTCACTTAACAACCGTGTTATTATCTTATCAAATGCAATGATGCACTTAACAACTGAGGCAAGAATAGTCATAAAATGGGGGCAAAACTCAATTAACAAATGTCTCATTTAACAACAGAAATTTTGGGCTCAATTATGGCTGTGAGTCGAGGACTACCTGTACAGAATGGCCTAAAATGAGAAAGATTTTCTTAGCGATAACGGGATTCAAAGACGTTTCCTATCGACACTAATTGTTTTATAGTAGCTTGTGTGTTCTTTCAAAAAAGACAGCACCAATTCCTTTCAGTGGAATATAAAATCATATTAACCTCATATTATGACAACTTACCGGCCGGACAAAGTTTGCAACAAATCCCAGAATATGGGAATTCTTTAGGATCACAGGAGTTTCGCAGTGATGGAGATTCAACCTAGAGGGTTTGGAAAGGGAGATGTTCCTATTATTGAGCTTTTCCAGAAATATTATTTTGTCTTAATCAGAGATGCACGCTCACAGTGAAACCATTGTTCTGCAAACCTGTCAAGATAAACTAAATTCAAATTCTACCATCAAAAGAAAATAGTGATCTTTGCACTTCAGAACATGTGCAGGGCGGGGGGAGGGGGGAGGGGATTACGGTATATACACCTTCTCATGGAATGAGTATAATATGCTATGGGTATAATATGAGTAATTTGTCCATTTATAAATTGTTGCAAGCTCAGAATAAAATACAATACAATTTCCTTCACTTTGGTAATGGAGCTGACCTATCTCTGTTAAGGTCTTCTTCCTCACTCTCTACAATTCTTTGCCCCACATTGGTCAACTAGATGCTTTTGGGAAGCTCACACACATGCACAAGGAGTGCACACTACCATCTTCCACCAATGCTTCCTACCATCTAATTTTTAAGGAATGCTGCCTATGAGATCTTATAACAGTGAAGAAAGAGTAGAAAGTCTGCAATTCAAGCAGCTTTTGGAGTTTTTCATGGCTTCGAGATGAAACAAGAGGAACTACAAAAGCCACCTCACAAATCAAAACTCTTCTAAAGCTTCAAAATAAGTATAAAAACCATAATGGCTATATTACTCGATGAGGAGGTTTTCGCGGGTGTTTGTATGTAGGTCTTTGGTTGTTCGGGTTTTCTCCCGTGTAAAATTGGAAGTGTCTTGGCGACGTTTCGACGAAGTCCCATTCGTCATCTTCAGGCTGGTGTTTTCAGCTCGAAGCACAAAGCTGAAAACACCAGCCTGAAGATGACGAATGGGACTTCGTCGAAACGTCGCCAAGACACTTCCAATTTTACGCGGGAGAAAACCCAAACAACCAAAGACCTACATACAAATACCCGCGAAAACCTCAGAAATATATATATATATATATATATATATATATATATATATATATATATATATATATATATATATATATATATATACACACACACACACACACACATACACATATACATATATATATATTAAAAATTACATTAAAAATTGAAGAATAGCGATTCCTGGGTACATACATTTCAGTAAAAAAGGAAGCGATCACCAGGAAATAAAACACCAAGGTTTTAATAAATAAAATCAAGCTTTCGATGGCTAACATCTGCCATCATCGTCAGGATACAAGCCAGCTAGTGAGGAAACCTGCTTATAAGCATAGCCACACCTAAACTCTACGCATGGACCTTGTAACAGGTCCAAGCCAACTAATCCTTACTTCACTTACAGCCTTCAGTGATTCTTTCTTTTAGCTCTGACTTACATCCACCTAGCTTTCGATGGCTAGCACCTGCCACCATTGTCAGAATACAAGCCAGCTAGTGAGGAAACCTGCTTATAAGCATAGCCACGCCTAAACTCTACGCATGGACCTTGTAACAGGTCCAAGCCAACTAATCCTTGCTTCACTTACAGCCTTCAGTGATTCTTTCTTTCTTTGTGTGGATGTAAGTAAGAGCTATAAGACTGTAGTAACTGCAGTTTTACTGCAGTTACTACAGTTTTAAAACTGCAGTATAGCAGTTAAGAAATGTCAAGGTGTAATCAATTAGACATCTGTCTGAAAAACTTCCTGCATATACTCCCTTGATTCAGCTGGCAAAGAGGGAGGAGAGCCTGTGGCTTGGTGGTTAAATCACTGCCTAGTATGTAAACTGCCCAGGTTCGAATCCCATAACGGGTGTGGCTAACTGAAGAGAGCAGAATGAGCTCGAAATGGCCATCTTAGTCTCCCAATTTAATTATTTAATTCTTTGTCAGAAAAAGAAATTTGGATATATATTTGGATATATATATTTGGATATATATTTGGATATAAAACTCATGTGACAGTTATTTTTGTCTCTGAACACTAGAGTAACCTGACACGAATACTGGATAAAACACCAAGTGAACAATATTCATCTTGAAACTGATCCTAATGATTGAAAAAAAAAAGCTAACCTAACCTAATATTTGAAAAAGCTAACCTAACCTAATATTTGGACTTTCTTCTCTCTTTCGATCTCCTACTTTTTACAGCATTTTGTCTGATGAGTATTGCTGGAAAACTTAAAATCTTGCTTGAGTATCTCTGGCATTTTGATTGGTACCTAATAAAGAGGTTATCCCAATTCAAATATTCAACCAATGATGATTCAGCCAAGATCTGGGGAATTATGTATCTATATACTACTAAAATTCTCCTATCTTTTTGTCTGTTTGTAACCTTCAATTAGCCCAAACGGTGCATCATTGTGCAAAGCGTTTTGAATCAAGGTACCTCAAATCTGCTAACTTAAAGAGATGTGTATAAAATCTGGGAGTCTTTACTTCTGAGTAATTGAAATTTCAAGGATCTTCACACTAGTTGTATTTGCAAAATTGTAGCCACTGCAGCAGCATCTCGCTCACATGATTATAACTTCAAATATTCTCTGCCAGTTTCCCACAAGTCAGTGGGGAAGCTGGCAGGAAGTCGGAAGTTGCTCGTCCTCCCACTGCTTTTTTGCCGGCACATAGTCATTCTGTTTCTCTGTTTAGGTAAGGAAGTGTATCTGAAAGGATGAACCAACAGGTCATGGTTTGTCTAGTTAAACAATATAAAGTTGAAAATCTCAAATTGCTTACACAGGAAATCATCTGGATAACTTTTAAAGTACAATACCTAACTTTAAATCTACGTATATGGCAACAGATGGAAACTGGAATGAATCACAGCATCAAGTAAAATAGGGCTGGCAGTTCAAATCCAGTGAATAAAGCAGTGTTTCTCAACCTTGACAATTTTAAGGCATGTGGACTTCAACTCCTAGATTTTTTTATTTATTTATTGCATTTTTATGCCACTCCTCTCACTGAGAAGGATCTAAGAACTTAAAACTGAAGAATAGCAGGAAAACCCTCCTGGGAGTAGAATGGGACAACCTGCCACAGGACAACTTGCCACAGGACAATTCAACAATTTAATTATTTAAAATAATTTTAATTTTTGTCATTCATGTTTCATTTTGTCCTTTCTTTTTTATCCTTTTCTGCAATGATTCTATTCCACTAATATTTCTTCGATACTAGTGTAACTGTTGTCCTGTAGCAAGTTGACCGTGGTAAATTGTCCCAGGGCGAGCCGGTTTCATATTTCAAGTGTTGTCTATTTCATTTTATTGTTTTGTCATATAAGGTTTATGGATCCTTTGTATATATTTAATAAATAAAAAAAATTCTTTATGAATTAACTAAATTAGTTGAATTAGCCTATCATGATAAGCAAATATAGCCAGTGAGTCTGATTTTTCAATCTCAGCTTTTTCAAACATAGAAAAATGTTCACTGTGCTTATATGTGTATAGGTGCATTTCCCTCTTGTGCAGTGGTTCTCAACTTTTTAATGCCGCGACCCCCAACCGGTCGTAAGTCGAGGACTACTCAACTGGTGCAGCACCATTTGCAGAATGGAACTTTTGGTGGGCTCAGCAGGGCAGAGACAGCCTGGACAATTCCTATTGGTTTTTGAAAGCCAATAGAATTAGACTCTATTCAAGAGAGTCTATTCTATTGGCTTTCAAAAGCCAATAGAATAAAAGGGAGTAGCACAGCTAAGGAAAAGGGGAAAAAAAATGGCGGACTGCGTTGTTTGGCGACCCCCGTGAAATGGTCGTTCGACCCCAAATGGGGTCTCGACCCACAGGTTGAGAACCGCTGCTCTTGTGCTCTCCCCCAATGCTTCTGTCTCTGCCATCTCCATCTATAGGCCTTTTCTCAGATTGTGCAAGCAGGCAAGTTAATGAACTCTTATAAAACCAACAGCAAATTTTACAGCCCTTCTTTCCCAGATAACATCACTACTACAATTCTAGCTCCCTAAATTCTATGACTCTTCTTCCAAGTCTCTGAGCTCTCTTCAAATGAGGGATGGCACAGGATCCATCTCTTAGCCATGAAACCCATACCAAATAAGCAATGGTTTTCATATTTGGAAAACTGTGCAAATATTAAACAAGCATTCAATTACACTGGTTTTGTTCATAAGGCAAAAATCACTATATTGTGAAATGCAAATTTTAGCTAACAATTAATGTGAATGGCCTATAATGCTACCTTAATTCTATGGGTTTTTTTTTTCTTTTGGGAAAAAAGTTAGGTATTTATATTATTTAGTTCATATATATCTCACAGGAATTTAACATGATACAGGCTGAATCAAAGATCCAGACAAAAATGGTTTTATGGAGCTGCTGATTTTTAATTTTATTTTATTTTATTTTGTTATTCTTAGCCGGGGCTATCTATATATTGTATGTTTTTTACTGTTTTTATTGATCTTGGATTCTGCATGCCACCAGAATTTACTGTATGGTAACAACAATATCTGCCTATCCTGGGCCTTGGGAAGGACTCAAAAGATGGATAAAAATGCCAGACCCAGTCTAAACATCTGGCTAACTGTACGACTTAATGCAAACTGATAAATACTTGGGACAAAACACACCAGATTTAATTGTGGTTAAAAAGAAGGAAGTGTGGAGAATTGATGTGGCAATACCAGGAGATAGTAGAAGAGATGACAAAAAATTGGGGAACATCACAAGTATATAGGTCCAAAAATCAAAATTGAAGGATTATGGCGTAAACTGTCAGTGGTGGTCCCAGCGATTATTGACAGTGCCATGCCCAAAAGCCTTGAATGGCACTTAGAAAATCTGCTTATTGAAAATATTTCTATCTGTCATTTACAAAAGGCCACACTGCTTGGATCTGCACATATACCACGCCAATACATTACATTCTCTACATTCTATGGGAAGAAGTGAATGTGAATGAAAGCCAACACTAGTTAAGGAACCAGTAGCTTTGATTTCACATGTTGTGTATATAATAATTTGTAATATGTATATTACAAGGATTGGTAATTATCAATGAATTAATAGCTGTAATGGAGTAGTAGTGCAACGTATAAATGCTTCACATTGATCTTCAATATAGAACTTTTACATTTCACGCATATACAGACGTTTTCCCTCTCCTGATCATGATCTGTTACACTCTCCTCTTAAAAAAACCTTTGCAGAATAAGCCTCTGACATCTTGAATTAGCTCACAGAATTAAGAAAATATAAAATATAGAACTATATTTGTACTTGGTAAAATTGTGAGCACTATTAAGTAAACATTCAAACTGGTCTTTGAACTCTGAAACTAGTAGAAGAAACACATACATGCTATTTAAACTCAGCTGTGTTTAAAAGTGCTAAAATCCAAACTTGATGAGGAGCTCAGTGGAAAATGAAAGTTGTTCACAATTTTGTAAACTTTTAATCTGCATAATGTTTTCAGAATTTAGTTTCCTTTTTCCCATATGAGAGTGTACAATAGTTTGCTTTTTAGAAGCATGGCCCTCAAATTGGAAGATTAATTTTCTAGCATGAGAAGATGGGAATCTTTTCAAAATAGTCTTTCAACCATAGAAATGCAAATGGCAGTTTTTATCTAGTGCAAAAAACAAAGATTTCAGCACTGCTGATATAAAACTCGTTTGTGCTTTTTTCCTATCAAAGAACTGCAATATTCTAAGTAATTATTGCATTTTGTTTTGTAGGAGAATAGCATTTATGCATTCTCCCTTAGTCCAGAGCAAAACCTGAAATCTTATCAGGATTGAGCCTAATCCAATCAGGTCCACTGCATTCTTCTTTAAACTTGCACTCAATATAGATTGTTCTTTAAAATCAAAGTGTTCTTCCTTGCTCTTTTTTAAAATCCCAAATCCTTTCTAATTTTTATTGAATTTTTTTAGGGAATAAAAAGAATACAAATTTAAAGGAAAAAGCAAAGTGATAAATAAGAATGAAAGAACAGGGACAGAAAAGAAGAAAAAAAAAGGGGGGGGGAGATCTAAAGGAGTAACTTCCAAACTTCTTTACAGCAGGTATAAAGGTATTTATGTTTTATCTCCTCAGGATCCATGGTTCCCTTCTTACCATATTTCAACTTTTCTAATAATCGAACTCACATATAAAAAAAAATAATTTCTATTTTCAGCAAAAAGTTCAAAAATGGTTAAAATCCAAAACCCTGAAAAGAACTCATACTTTTGTCTAAACTTTTTGAGTACTGCATTTAATTTTGTGAAAAGCATTGTCTAGCTATACACACTGATTTACAAGAAATGTGAATCACCTCACAAATGTACTTCCTTATTACTTCTACGGAGAGTTCCTTCACTCTCCATCCTAGCCCATGCACAATGCCAGTTTACCGATGTGCTTTAGCTATGCTCTGACAACAAACTATAGTTCTAAAACACTTGCAGGGCACCAGGTTGGGGAAACTAAAGTGCTAGATTAGAGGGGCAGCACATTCCATCTTATTTTTAATGAAACTTTTATTAAGAGTGGAATAGACACATCTAAATGAAAATGCAGGAGTTATGCTGTCCATCATACAGTGGTTTGCTTAGTGCAGGTGTCTTCAAACTTGGCTAAGGAATTCTGGGAGTTGAAGTCCACAAATCATAAAAGGGCCAAGTTTGAAGACCCCTGGCTTAGTGTATGGCATAAACTCACCCAATTGGGGTTTATTAAATAAACCAGAACATATCACTAGGGAGCATCTCTTTGGAGTAAAATAATCTGCGGAATGGACTGAAATGTCTTAAACCCAGGATGTCTTTTTACCTCACAAGTCATGAATAACAGTAAGTCTTGTCAGTGCACATATGAGCTACGGTATTTAAAAAAAAATGGCTTGGAGGGACAGAACGGAAACCGGAAAAGGGTAGCATTGGCTTCACCCCACCGCTCCCATCAAAAAGGAGCACCAAAACCTGCAAAACCTGTTGCAACCAGAAACGGGGCTTAGTCATGCCCCTCGAGTCTGAGCTCACTCTTAATTTTTTTATTTAGCTGTCTGAATCTCGCCCATCTTGAGGTCTGCGCAGTGACAACAATGTTATCGGCAGCTAAACAGTTACCTATATAAGTAGCAAAAAAAAAAAAATAAAAAAATTACGGAAGTGGCAAAATCCGGGGTCGGCCGTCCGTCACAACTCTTTGGATTTCTTTTCGAACACGACAGCGCAAAAAAAAAAAAAAAGCCAAAAGCCCGCAAAGTTGACACCCCGATGTCCAAAAGGGTCGCAATCCAGTAGAGAGAGAAGCCTCTCTTTTTTTCCCTGGCAGCCCTTCTCCACCCTGGTGATCTTCAGGATGGAGGGGGGGAGGGGAAGTGCAGGACTCCAACTTCCATTGGGAAGAGACGAGCCAAACTTTTGGCGGACTTTCCTCGGACGGGCTTCTCCCTTCCCTTCCGCCACTCCGCGGCATGAGAGCCGGGCGCTGCTTCAAGCCCAAGGATCGCGCGGTGGAATCAATGAAGCTCGCACACCGCGCCACCCCCGTTCCTTAGGAATCCTCCTCCTCCTCCTCCTCTTCGCTCCCCGACGGCCGAGCTCAAGCAGCCCGGAGCCTTTTCCCGCCTTATTTTGTTCCTCGGCTTACCTTCGACAGCAACGCCAAGACGGCCAAGCACGTCGCCACCGCCATTTCAATGGGCGCCGCGATCACGGCCCTGCTCTTCTTTAACCCGGCGGGATGAAGTCTTGTGACGGGTTAGCTTCTTAACTCTCCACCCCTTCGGCGCCTACAAGGCGTCACCGGGAATTCCCGTTCGTGAAAAGTCGCAGAAAGCTCCGAAGTTGTTAACCGAGTCTTCTCCAACAGCAAGCGCGCGCAGCCCGGCTACATCCGCAGCTTCCGCGGGGGCACCGAGCAAAAGAGGAGGGCTTTTTTTGTTGTTTTTTGGGGGGTGAGTTGTAGTTGTGTTGGGGATAAAACTTTTGACTCCGCCCACTAAAGGAATCAGAAAGACGCTCTCCTCCAGACGCCTGCCTTCAGATTTAACACGTGCCATTGATTGCTTTGCGGAAAGTTACTGGAGCTGAACTCCTTTTCTTCAAGAAAGGCGGAAACGGTTTTTCACTGCCCGCTTTTTTTCTTCGGCCGTCCAGTTTAACAGCCTTACGATCCCAGGATTCTGTATCTACTGAGCCTAAATCTGCGAACTTTTGACTTTCAGATAAGATTGGCCCCTAAAACTCGATCCGGATTTGGTGGCACAGCATCACCACCATCATCCAGGTGCTGCCGTTGCTGCTCCTCCCTGGTGACTCTTCTTATTTAGTTCCCCCACTTTGCCCCTTTCTGTTCCAACGACTAATCTAATTTCTCTTGGCCCATTACCTTTAGACTTAGGATTTTGTGTGTGTTCCCGGGTCTTCAAATCATTGTTGATTGCTGATAGGTCTGGACAAGTCCCTACAGTTTTCTTGGCAAGATTTCAGAAGTGGTTTGCCATTGCCTGTTTCTTAGGGCTGAAAGAGAGTGACTGGTTCAAGGTCATCCAGCTGGCTTTGTGTCTAAGGCAGGACTAGAACTCATGTTTTCTTGGTTTCTAGCCTGGTGCCTTAAGCATTACACCAAATGGACTCTTTTAGGCTCAGTCTAAGGGCAAGAAAAAAATGAGGCCGGTTTGAACTAAGCTGGTGGAGAATAAGCTTCAAAGAACACCAGCTCCCAGGAATTGTGGATCAACTCACATCTGTAAAACTGCTGGAGCAGGAAGTTGAAACATTTGGTTATGTTTGCAGGACAAAATTCTCCACACCTTCCTCATTTTCTGAATACACACAGCACTTCCTAGTGACTTGAGTTTGGGCAACTTGCTAACTATGATTGTTTTAATCCGGGTTGACTAAACTACACTAAAATATGGAAACATAAACTAACCATTCACATTTTAGTCTAGCATGTTGTACAAACTTAACTCTGTTCATACAATGTAAGCCACCAAGGTTAATTAGGTTTATGCAACATGCTAAAGAAATGGATCATAGTGTAGCTTAGTATAGCAGCCCAGTTCACACAATACAGGATTTCATAATTTTTCCAGATTTGGCTCATACACAGGTCCATTATCTATGGTTTATGGTTTAGTGAATTGTGCCAAAACTGAGCTCATACAATGCACTGAACCATAAACTAGTCTAGTCTTATCGTATTTTAGTGTAGCAGGATTTAGATATAAGTCCAGACAGAGTGGATCAACTGTTTATGGTTGACTTATGAACCATAGTTAATATCAAACCACAGTGAACTTGAATAATCACACTGCGCAAACACAGCCAAATGATTACTTCACTCTTCTCCACCTGAATGTAAACAGGACTCTTACTTGAAGAGTCCACTGTCCAACATGGTCTGCCATTCAGGGCTCATCCTGTTCATTTTGGATGATGTTCACCTTCTCAATCATAACCCCCTTTCTCAGATAAAGTATGATAATAGAAGGGAAGTTTCCAGGATTTCTGCTGAGTGTGGCTAGCAGGAACATGGACAAAAACGTAAGAGTATTGTAGAAAAGATTAACACTATTGACTGCAGCACCATATAAGGCAGAGGTCTCCAATCTTTTTGATTTGGCTGCCCAGAAAGGGAGGCAGGCACCGCTACATGTGCGTGCACAAATAGCCTGTGTGTGTGTGTGCACGCAAAAATGAGCCCTGTGTATGTGCACACAAATGGGCCGCACAAGCGCATGCAAATGGCCACACATGAACACATGCACACACACAAATGGCTGCATGGGGGTGAGTGCTGCAAATGGGGTGGCAAATGGCACTAGTGCCGGTGGGACACTTGGGCAGGGCAGCGCTAGTGCTGGTGGGACACTCGGGAGCGGGGCAGCGCTAGCACCAGTGGGATGCTCGAAGGTGGGGTGGCACTAGTGCCGGCAGGATGCTCGGGGCGGTGCTAGTGTGTGTGGGGGTGAGTGTATGCACATGTGCGCGTGCACTGGCCGTCCCTTCATGTGGCCAAGCAGCCGCATAGTGGGCCACAGCCCACAGGTTGGGGACCCCTGATATAAGGCATTAATTTTAAGTATTCACGAACAGCCAGCTGTTTTAAATCTATAGCTCTATAGCTGGTTACTATATCTGATCATACCTGAACACATTCAGATAGGATGGAGGCGATGTCTTCTGGGAAATTCGGAGGCTTCAAATGCCATTGTTAGTATGGATTGCCCTATCTGAGCATTGTGGCACTGTAAGTGCAGCATCTGTACCCACTTTTTGCCTGGCTATCTAATTAATGTATTTTTCTGGATTCACACAATATATTACTTAGAATCTGGTTGCTAGTGTCACGCAAACAGGCAAGGGAAGGGCTTTCTAAAAGAGGTACCTTCCCTCGACTGTCATTCTGAAAGACTAAAATCCAGTATTTGCTCGATGCATCTTTTAGCATTGTGATGGTTGCTTTATTTAAATGTTTCAGTATTTCTACATATACTTTCAGTCATGGAAAAGTGGACAATAAATGTATTTATGTTACCTCTTCTGTCCTGACATTTTTCCAAATTCTATCCATTCTACTCTTCTAATTATATTGAGATGAAGGTGAATTCAGTTCTCTTTCTAGTGGGTAAGGGTACAAAGTGACTGCCATCCGTTTAAAATGTGGCTGTCTAGGTTGATGATGCCTCATGCTGATCTGTAGATATGTGTCCAGTTTCAGTCCAAATTATTGCTTCCAGAGGCCTGAAAAATTTGAATAAGACTATTTCAAGAACCATTGTCCTATATGACAGGCCCTATTTATTTTTTTAATTTTTGTTCTGAAATACAATTGTTGTTTCCAAGACAACTACTGCACCCAAGATGTGTAGTTTGCACTTGTAAATTTTAAATGCTGTAGTATGCCACCTTGGATATTTGACTGAAGGGAAATATATTCCATTAATATGCGTTCAAACAAAGCTATAATGTCAATGCATGTAGAGCTGAGAGGAAGAATAGTCTTAAAACTAAGCTGAACCACCTTCTTCAACTAGTCACTCTTTAGATCTGTTGGACCTCAAACTTTCTCAACATTTTTCTGACACAATCATCCAACACCAGCTCTCTGCTTTCTCATATTCGTGCTGTTTCTCCTGTATTTTTTCTCTCACTATGCTTAAGTAGTTAACACTGATTTTAAGAAACCATTCTGCCTCTTTTGCTTTTTTTACTCAAATCTTTGTCTTTTGTTGCATTAATATGCCTTGTGGTAATAGTGTTGCAACTTGTGGGTTGGAAACAAAATGCATAAAATATTCTTAACAGCAAATATATTCTTCCACTTGTCTTGTACAAAATAAAAAGGTCATGTTTTAATTTTTTAAATCAGTCTAACCCTCCCCCAAATGACCAGTATGTGGTACAAAAAATAGTGCATGTCCCACTTATGCAGAAGTGTGTTCCAAAGTAGCTGCAGTTTACAAATGCAGAAGCTTAATCAAATTTTGAAGGCTCACAAGTCATTTTTAAGTGTAGATGTTATGAATGTCATTGGGTGTCACCAATTTTGTCAATATTTCTGTGCTTCTTGAAATATCCTGGGAAAAACAAAATAAAAATAAAATTAGAGCAACCTTTGAAGGGGTTTCACAATACAATTGTTGGGGGAAATTATACACCTACCTACAAAATAAGCCATGTGCAAGTGAAGCATTTGTGAAATGCAACACACAAAACTCTACAATTTGCTAATCAGTTGTTCTTGTTTCATGCTTTTATAATTTACTGAATAATGGGAACAACAGAAAAGGAAAACAAAATAACTGAACAGACAACTGAGCACTCTTAAATCTACTATAAACATCAACATTTTAATTGGGCATTCTTTTATATGTAGTCCAGTTTTTCAAACTTGCCAACGGGGATTTTTGGAGTTGAATGCCACACATTTTAGAGATTGAAAAACACTGATCTACGCAGATGTAACAAACTGAACTGCATTTCTGTCAAATAAGGATAGGCACAAGTGCAGCCAGGGTATGCTTATTACTAGTCCAACCTCTCCAAAAGTCACAGAGTTCTCCCACAAAGTGTTTTTAAAAATTATTTCCAAAGTTGGCAAAAAGGCAAAAATAACATCCCTGGGCACTTGTGTGAACATGTTAGTGCTCCCATGGATATAGGGAGAAGGCTATTTGGCACAAGCAGGAAATAGAATTCTCTTTTTTTCATTGCTATTTATTTGAGGGTTAGCAACCTTATTCACTTGCTATTAGCATCTCCAGAGAATCTAAACTTACATGTTGATTTAATAAAGTGAAATTTAATCTAACAGCATTCAGTTAACTATAATACCCTTAATTATTGTAACAGCAAATAGCAGCCTCTTAACTGATCTTAGTCAACCTCAGAACAACTAACCATGTTGGGCCTGGGGCAAGCTGCCCAGTGAAAGGATGGGTCACTAACCATTTCTGCCTGTAATCCATTATGCTTCCACAGCTGAAAAAACCCGAGGATGACTTAGTGCTCTGCAATGGGTGTTTCCCCCCACAACCCGCCTCAGGATGCTGGTTGCAGGCAGTGGAGGATGTTCTGAGATGCACTGAGAAAGTGGCCAAGAACGACATTCTTCAGGCTGGAAATCTTACGGCTCCAACTGATTCTGCCATTTTCTCACAGGACCACTCACTTCAGTCTGATCTCTGATCTTTTTACTCAGTCTCAATCCTCTAACACGGTGGTCCCCAACCTTTCCAGCTCCACAGACTAGCAGCGGCAAGGGAGGGAGGGAAGGGATGGTTTCGCATGTGCAATCTAATCCCAGGCGTGCACAAATGGAGCTTCACGCACTTGCCCGCTGCTTTTGTGGACCGGTTCCTAATAGGCCACAGACCAGGAGTTGGGGACCTCTACTCTAGCAGAATTCTGGCTTCTGTAGCCTTACCCTTTCTCTCTTTTTTTAAATAAGTAGGTCTACCACTGGATTGAAGAATGCAAATGTTTTGAAATTTACCAGCATGTACCTGTTTAAATTCATGTAAATGAAAGTGTAACTGAAAGGACTTGGTGTTATTTATTAATCAATTTTATATAGCTGCCCATCTCACCAAAGGCAACTCTGGCCAGAACACAATAATTCACCCATCTCCTTGCTATTCAGTGTAATAATTAAATCTTACCTCCACTAAACTTTTTAGAATTTTGGATGATAAGACAGGTTTGAAGGTTTCAATAGTTACTAAGTCCAGTTGGAGTATATCAGTGTAACATTGATAAAATATTGCAGGGATTTGCCACACCTGACAGTAACTGAGAACTAAATGGAAAAGAGAGCAAAATAATTAATACATTCTTGGGATAACAGCGAACTACCAATTAGACTGTAGCAGTATCTTCCATTTTACTCTACAAAGGAAACCCAACTCAATGATTATGTTGATACACAAATTGTAACTTTTAACTTGCAACACTAATACCTGATTTGTAACGTATGTTTGAAGACCAAAGAAACGATCATGTTCTGTTGTTCAAATATACTAGATCTCACCCATTATAACTTTTAAGCTAGGGATGAAGCTGGTTAACTCACACAATTTTAGTGAGCTAAATCACTACTTTTTGACCAAGGTACCTCAAAAGAGTTAATTTACAGAATGCACCCAAAATCTAGGATCCATAAGTCCCATGGAATTGAAATTTCGTAAATTTTATGACATAAAATTATCATAAAGCATTTTATGACATAATACAAAATGTCAAAACATTTCCAGTGGTCAGCTCCTGATATGTGTGTGCTAGCATGTTTCCCCGAAAACAAGACTCAGTCTTATAGTTTTTTGCATCCAAAAGAGGCAGTAGGTCTTATTTTCGGGGGATGTCGTATTCTTTTCCCTGACACCTGCCTCACCTTGCTGGCACCAACAGTCCAGTTCAGCAGGAGCCCATGTGGCCGCCAGCCCACTTCTGCGGCTGCTTACGGCATGAAACTGGGTGCTGCCACCACAAGGCAAGGCAGGTAGGGGAGGGGGTAGAGCTGTCCCAAGCACCCCATAGGTGCACAAAAACACTTTTCACTCGGATGGAGAAATGATAGAGAATGGAAGCTTCATCTGCCATTGTTGAAGGCACTGAGGAATCTGATAAGCAAATATCTTTGAAACAATGACCCAAGGGGGGGTCACGGGTAGTCTTGTAAGTAAAAGTAAATAAATGAATACCTATCGGAATTAAAAGTCCAGTAATTCAATAAGACTTACTAGATTAAGTTATAATACATTGATTTACAATTTGCATTTCTTGAAAAAAAATGCTAGAAATTCTGTTAGCATAGGAAATACATGCTAAAATATGATAGGATTTGATGTTATTACCATTAGCCATCAAATACTACTAAAATGTACATATAATGTGCATAAATATTGTGTGAAATACCTGCTGCCGGGAGATCCCGTACAATATTTGGCTGTTCTAGAAGGGAGCAACAAACTTTGTCTTTAAACTCTCTTGTTTTCAGTGCTTTCAGGAAAGGTGAAGGGAGAGTTAGAGTGGATTCAGTGGTTTTATAATCTGTTACAGGACATGCTGAAAGAACCAATACTTGCAAATCAATCTTCTGTAGGCATCCAAAAATCTAAAAGGAAGATAAAATAGCAATAGCAATTAGACTTATATACTGCTTCATATAAGCGATTTATAGCAATTTACAGAGTCAGCATATTGCCCCCAACAATCTGAGTCCTCATTTTACTGAATGGAAGGCTGAGTCAACCTTGAACAGGTCATGATCGAACTACTGAAAGTGGGCAGAGTTAGCTTGCAATACTGCACTTTAACCACTGTGCCACCACGGCTCACCAACATTCCTGAATCCAAGAGATGAACTAGGTCACATCCATTCTTGGAAGCCAAAGATACTGGGGGCTGCTAATGATTCTGCCCCTGCCCCTTCCCCTGCTGATTTCAATCTGATTTTTAATATGACGAAGCAGGGCTGTGTGTGGATCAGATTCTAAGGTAAAAAAAGGAGCTATTCAGCACACACAATTGCGCAGGTAATACCTTTCCGCAACTCTAATTTAAACCAAACATGACTATTCCCAGGATCCCTGGATAGCCGTGCAGCCTTGCAATGTCAGGAAGAGAGGCAGCTGCAGACACGTGCTTTCTGAAAATACAGTACATGTGCACTCCAAAGGATCTTTTTGTTTTCAAATCTGAATCACTATACAACCCCCAAATAATGCCTCTTTTCTTTTAGGTAAGATTAAATGAAGCCACTCCTAGATAAATGCAGCCTCAGATTCACAACCTGCGCTATCCAAAACATAATCAAACATGCCTACAGAAAGGGAAGGGGCCTGGTGATTTGACCCTGGCCTTGACTGTCCCATTTCTCCCCTTTTACCTTTTCAACCCACTGAAACTGTTGGTCTTCAGCCACGTGACAATTGCATTGGCACAGTAAAATCTGAAAAGGATGAGAAATACATTAATTTTAGTGAAAGAGACATGAAAGCCTAATGCAACCAATCAACCCTCACCTCACCCTCTGGATCACCACAAGCTGCAATCTTCTGGGTATTTCCTTAGAAGTAAATTTCATGCACTATAGAAGAACCTAACTTCTAAGTGAATATATATGTATTTCCGTTGAACATTATACAGGTAGTCCTTAACTTATGACCACAGTTGAGCCCAACATTTCCACAGCTAAGCAAGACAGTTGTGAGTTTTGTCCCATTTTATAATCTTTCTTGCCACCGTTAAGTGAATCACTGCAAAACCTGGGAAAAGCTAATCTGTGTTTGTGACCTTCAAAGTTTTAACAACAAAGAACAGCTGTGACAAAAAAAAAGACAATATCTGGGCTGTGGACAAAGAACTATAAATTTCAGGAAAAAAAATCTTTTTTTGAACTATTTGGATTACAAATATCTATTTAATTGGGACTCTATTTGCAGAGAAAAGAAAGGAAGAGAAAAACTCAAATTCTTGTCCATCATGGAGCAGAGACATGTAGAAAGAACATATCAAGAAAACAAATACTTCACAGGAGGAGATATATAGTATACTGCAACTAATCCAAACAACGACTTTAAACTACAAAGAAATCAAAATAACTTTGAAAATATAAATCAATCTATTTCTAAGTTAACTCTACAACAAAAAAAATCCCAGAAAGCAACAACAGAGAAGCAGATAAAACAGACAAATGGATATAGAACTGAGAATAGAAATTTAAAGATTGAACTTAACAAAACAAGGAAACCTGATTTAATCCTAGTGGGAAAAAAATGTACAAGAATTGGAAAAAACAACTTATCCCTTAAGACTACAAAATAAACCTGAGAACAAGAAAACAGATTGGATAAAATGGACTGTAGAGGTGTCAGGAACATTGGAGAGAAAGGAAATGATAAGAGAAGCGGAGAGAAAGAAAAAGATTTTCAACAAACATGGAAAGGCAGAAGCCCCGTACGAGGCACTTCATCTGATTTACTTTTTATACTTACAGCAACATTTACGAACATACGGAAAAACTTTTTGGGTCAGCAAAATACATTAAGAAAGATACTGAGCAAAGGAAAAAGACTAAAATAGATGATGGGACTTACCAGAGAGAATACTTAAAAAAGAAACATTTGTTTGAATATGGTTAAAGTAATAGAAAAGTTTTGGAATATATATATCATTCTAAGAGGGACGAATTCCCTAAATAATATAGTATGTTTTTTTCCCTTTTTTGTTCTCTTTCTTGATATGAGTAATATAAAAAAGTTGAAATGATCTAGATGAAGGGAATGTTTTAGATACTTAAATGTGACTGAATTTAAGAAAATTATAACGGATTAAAAATGTTTTGAATAAGAGTTAAAAGGACTGGATGACTAGATGTATTAAATGGAATGTTTAAAGATTAAAGATATTTTTAATTAGGGTTAAAAATAAAAAAAATAGGAAATAAATATATATTAGCTTAGGAGGGATATATATTTTAAGTAGTATGTTATTTTTTATGTTTCTTTACTCTTGTTCTTCTTTCTTTTTTTTCTTTTCATTGTTTTATCTATTCCTTAACAAATGTAAAAGTGTGAGATGGTTTCGAATTAAATTTTTAATTAATTTTTGAGAAAATCTTAACAAGTAAGAATACCTAGAATTTGGTGGGAGAAATAAACTAAAATAAGGACCGTAACAGGATCTATGATAAGGCAACCAGAATGATTGGATAGAAAAGAAATATTATATTGATGTGATTATTATTTTTAGGAATATTGGGGAAAATTATATATTTAATTGTTATCTATCAAAACAATAAGAATTGTATCAACTCAATGTTTATAAAAGAGGATGCTTTGGGAAAAGAGGAAATCAACTAAAACCATTATGTGGATTATGGATTATAGAAATCTATTGTTAATGATTGTTTTACAAATGTAACCCAGACAACACACTGTTCACCAATTATTAAGTGATTTATGTTTTAAAAAATATCAATAAAATATATTACAAAAAAAAAAAAAGAATCACTGCAGTAGTTAGGTTACTAACAGTTGTTTGACTTTGCTTGTCAAAAAGTTGCAAAAGATGATCACACGACCCCAGGACACTGCAACCGTCATAAATACATGCCAGTTGCCAAGCATCCAAATTTTGATCACATGACCAAAAATGGTCAGAAGTCTCTTTTTTCAGTGAATGGCTGTAAGCTGAGGACTACCTGTACTGAATTTGGACAAATATTCCAACTGGCACATCCTTAATTGTTACTGCATGATTCTTCTTCACTGGCACATGAGATAATTGGAAGAGGCTAGAAGTACCAAACAGCACTGCATATAGAGGATGGCACCTGAAGTTAGTGTGGAGACAACTACTTATATTCACCTAAAGAATTCTCAGTTAGAAATTCCTGCTTAAGTGGGCAGTATCTAAAAAGACTCAACCCACAAGCTGCCATTAATATAAATGTATAGGAGTGCATTAATATTTAGTTAGTGGTGTTCTCATTTTAAACTATCCTGCTTTGTTTTTAAAAATGAAAAGACAGAAGTATCCAGGAACAACTAAGCTAATTGTACATAAGCATTTGTGTGGTGCAGAAGCTAAAAGTGAAGAACGACTATTAGTTTGAAGTCTTAGCAGTCTGAAAGCAGCTTTCAGTCTGAAAGCTCAGTAGGGTCAAATCTTGTAGTATTTGAAGGGGTGACTATAATGGAAACCCAGGGCTGAAGGCCAGTCTGTGTAATAATAATAATAATAATAATAATAATAATAATAATAATAATAATAATAACAACAACAACAACAATAGCAACCCCCTTCCAGACTGTTGTCAAAAAAATCTACAGTCATGTTGAGAAATCACCAGGAATTGAGTTTGACTTGCTTTAATTTAACTTTTTAAAAATAATTTTGAAAGTTTTGATTGAACTTCTCTGCCTCCAAATGGTAAGAGATACTACAGTACTTACTGTGGGATCTGAAACTGACCGATAAAAACAACAGTATGAATCTTTTGGAAGAAGATTGGTTACTTTTGATGTTCTGCACCACTCATTCCATAACTGGGCAGAGCCAACCAGCTCCCAGCTTCCAGAATTCAAAATAAATGAAGACAAGAATGCTGTGGACCAAATGAGATTTATTAGATGAATCACTAGACTGTTCTGAATCTATTATTCAGAATCATTATTAGCAAGACTAAGCACTGCATTTCAATTTACACAGAGACCATGATCCACAAATTATTTCGGTTGATAGAAATGAACCAAGAAGACTTCCACAAGCTACTTCAGTGCTGAAAGAAAGAATCTTCTGCTTCTCACCTACTGCATTGCCTCCAACACCCAAGATAAACTTTGAACAAGGAAACTTTTCTTCTGCCGATATGTCTGAGGTATTCCAGGTGATACAAACATCTCTAAGTATCAGAAAAAGAACAGGATTAAAAAGACCTGAACAAAAGGCTACAGAAAAAAAACTTGAGTTACATCAGAGAAAAGCAATTTTGTTGTGTGGAATCTTTGCTGCTCTCTGAGTTTAGTTGTTTCCTTGCAGACATTTCTATAGCACTGAAGATGTTATCTAATCCGGTAATGAAACATCTTCTAATGGTAGCAAATGGTACATCACACAATCACAATGAATACAAAGAAAACCTCTAAGCTTCCATAACAGTACCACTGACTAAAAATGCTTTCACTCTCCACTCATTGATACAGTGAGCAGCTTTTAGGCTGCTTTCCCAAGAAATGATTCCTGCACCATTTCCCCAAGGAAATCAAAAGTAACTAACCACTGAAAAACAACACGGCTGCATTCACATGAGACAATGAATGTAGACTCGGTAACTACAGGTAAGCTTAATGTGTTGCATGAATCTAGAATGTACAGTTAATAGTTCAGTATGTTGTAAAAGAAAAGAAAGCTGGATTAAAAATAAACTACAATAAAGAAATAAGTGTTTAATGAAAACACAGCCTACATGCAGTTCTATGAAGCCCCAGGGTTTTTTTGGTTTGTTAGGGTTTCGGCTGAGAGGTTTTTGTGTCTTTTCTGCTACCCAATGTGGTTATTATAGTAGTAACTAAGTTTGAAAAACAGCTACAGAAAACCTGACAGGAAGGGAAACAGAAACAAGAGAAAAGGAAAATCTCTACTGCAAATCACTCCACCTAATAAAGCAGATTTTACTTCTGTTAGAGAGGGCAAATGTCTAGAGGAGATTTTTTGTGCTTAATTTTTAGTATTGAAATAAGAGGATCTTTAAAAAAACAACCACTACCACAAAGCAATGCTGACATTTCTCTCACACATCTAATGATCACAAGTGCCCTTCCAGAGTTAATGGGGATGCATAGAAGAATCAAGCTCAGGTTCAGTCCCATCTTAATTAAATCAGGCCAGACACTAAGGATATCCAGGAAAGATGGGTTTTTCTTTGCCCCAAAGAGGACTAATGTAAGTATAGCGCTAAAAGCTATTTCATTGCTCACTATATGTTATATTATGAAGTTTATAACTCATATTTATTGTACCAATCAAATATACTAGAAACTTAATTTGTTTGAGAGGCACTTCAGCCAAATTTGCACTACAAATTATTATTGCTACATTCACATCCTATACTAAGCTTGGTGAATAATAATGCTGCCTGTTTTTTTGAAGCTTAGCATATTGCACAAGCTCCGTTTGTCCAACTCCTGATTTATCACATGGTGCAATCTCCATCCAGCAAGTTAACAGACTGAAGCAGTGCTCAGGTCCCATTTTTAAAATTTATGGGGGACCCCAAAAGAACTATCGTTTGTATGGGTTATATTCGATATGCACCGTATTAAAAATTAAAACCAACGCATTCGCTGATGCTACTGCTTTCCATGACCATTTGACGGAATTTTAGCGTATTAATTATTGTATTATTTAAATACTTCATTTCCCAACGTAGGCCGGCAAATAATTTTGGTCTCGAGGACCCTTGAAAGGGTTTTGGTTGGGAGGGCCCACTTTAAGAAACACTGGTATACATCAACTAACAATGATTCCAGATCCAAGTGCGCTGTGCACCCCTTTCAGCTACAGTGAACGTTTTGGGGGAGCAGCACCCCTTTTCTCCGCGCCAACTTTTAAAGACGAAATGCCACATTCTGAACGTGCTCAGAAGCGAAGGGTCTCCCCCTCCCTCCTCCCCAAATCTTTTCTCGTTCACGGATTTCTCCTGCTCGCGACCTTTTCTTCTCCAGCGCCAGCCGAATCTCACGATCCTCCTGCGTCTCTTCGCGCTCTTCTGCAAGCTCTTCTTCGTCATCCAGGCCAGCGCGGGACTGGGGTGTGACCACCTCCCCCAAAAACGTAGCCATCTCCGGTTCAAGCTAGCCGACTCACCGGGAGAGTAGCCGCTGGAGAACTGCCGAAAAGCGCGTCTCCTTCCGGGTTAAGCCAAGCAGCTGGATCTGCGAGGATCAGCGAGCATGCTCGCCTTCAGTTCGGGTGATCGCTTTTAGTTTGTGGCAGCTCCGGCTCTTGCAGCGCCCTCCGGTGGCATAGAGCCGGATCGTCCACGTTTATATCGCTTTTCTTGGTCTTTAAATGCCTTGCGATTCTGGGTAGTTGAGTGGGTGCGAGTGTAAAGATAGGGAAAGGGAATGACCTCTCGTCGGCTTACACAGGGGCACTGATTCGATCTGGGAGGGCTTTGGAATAAACTCCGTGGTGGTTGGAAAGGCCGTTTTCATAACCTTCAGGGGCAGATAAAAGCTTATCCTCAGATCTGACTAGGAAATTAATAATAATAATAATAAAAATAATAGCAACAACAACAATAATAATACAATGAATCATGCCCTTCATCCACGTAGTAACATTGGCAGAGTCTACCTACCAAGGCAAATAGATGGGCATGGAATGTTGCAAGTACATCAGATGGTTGAAGAAGAAAAAATGGCTTTGGAAGAATATGAAGGAGGACAATGATGTAGATGCACTGAAGTTAGTATATCAGGAAGGCTTCCTTATTACTGGAGAGATCAAACTGGCCTACAAGAAAGACCAAATGAAGAACAGAATGGAGGCATGGGAAGACAAAGTACTACATGGCCAGTAGATTAAAAACAATAGCTGGGGAAGCAGACCTGGCAATTGGCTAAGAGCAGGAAAGTTGAAGAAAGAGACCAAAGGACTAATTCTAGCTGCACAAGACCAAGCCTTAATGAGAAATACATACAAAGCCAGAATTGAGAAGACAACTGCCTATGCAAAGAAGCTGAAGAAACAGTGGACCACCTGGTAAGCTGCTGCAAGAACATTGCGCAGACTGACTACAAGCAATGGCATGACAAAGTAGCAACAATGGTGCATTGGAAGATATGCAAGAAATACCATTTGCCTGCAAGCAAGAACTGGTGGGATCATAAAATAGAGAAAGTCATAGAAAATGAAAAAGTTAAATTGCTCTGGGGCTTCAGAATTCAAACAGACAGGCACCTGCCACATAGCACTCCAGACTTAACAATTGTCGATAAAAAAAGACAAAAAAGTTTGGTTAGTCAGTGGACATGGCAATGTCTGGAGACAGCAGAACAGAACTGGAGAAGATAACAAAATACAAAGACCTACAAATAGAAATAGAATGACTGTGGCAAAGGCAAGCAACAGTAGTAGCAATAGTAATAGGTCCCTTGGGTGCAATCCCGAAACAACTGGAGCACTTGAACATCATCGGCATTGATAAATTCACCATCAGTCAATTGCAAAAGGTGGCCTTACTGGGAACAGCTTCCATCCTGTGATGGTATCTGCAACACCATCAGACATCCAGATCTGCCTATCCCAGGTCCTTGGTAAGGACTCGATAGGTAGACAAAAATGCCAAACCCAGTCTGAACATCTGGCTGTGCGATGATTGATGATGATGAAATGAATTCCTTTTATAACAAGGAATTAAGGGTGCAAGGTGCGATTCAGTGGGCTGGGTTGTGCTAGCCTTTTGTATCTCACATCTGTTGTATCAACTGTATTCCCATTCTGCCCAATCTGGTAAAGAGGGCAGAAAACACTGGAGAGAGGCAATCCCATCACTATTTTTTTCCCAAGTGACAACAGCACCATGAATTTTATTCTGGTAACCTACTGGGAGCTAGTGCAGCTGACTAACAGCAGTGTCACCAGCGCATTACATGCTGTAGCATTCTGGTCCTGCTTAAATTTCCCAATGCTCTTCAAGGCCAGCACCATGTAGAGTATGTTACAATAGTTTGATGGGAAAACAACTAACCTATGGTGACTGTGAGCAGGATCCACCAATTGGTGGAAATGGCTCGCAAGATATATTTGTGCAAACCTCTCCTGGTCATGGCTGCTACCAACTCCTCAGATAGGGGCAGGAATCCAAGAGAACTGCCAGATTGGGCACCATCTCTGAGTGGGGCAGTGTAATTCAAGGTTAACTATGGGGCTGTAAAACCCACAACCACTCAGTCTTGTTAGGGTTAAGCACTGCCTCTAAGAACTGGGAAAGCACTGTTACATCATCATGAGGTGAGGATGTACCACTGAGTATCATCATCATATCGATGATACTTAAGCTGTGCCAATGGATGGCTTCAACCAGTAGTTGGTAAGTAGAATGAACGTAACAAACTTATAAGATACAACACAAGAGTTGTTGTTTGTTTCTCACTATCTTGGCAATTCATCCACTCAAGTCTCCCTCAAATGTTCTGTAACATCAAAAAAGAATTCCAAAGAGATGTTGGGAAGGAAAGGAAGAGGTGTGAAAGGATTCTTTGTATAACTCTTGATACAATATTGGAAGAGGGAAGCAAGCTTGGATCTGACACTTATCGCCAGCATTTATTTTTTAAAATTAACTTAGATCTGAACAAAAAATCTCAACCAATATCTTCAATGAAGATAAGTTTTAATCTAGATCATCACATTCTATTTGAAGCTCTCAATAGAGAAATTGACCATTTCAAACACTCTACCAATTTCTGAAGGGGCTTATTTGGTTTAACAGATAATCCTCAACTTACAACCATTGATTTAGCGCCAAAGTTACAATGACACTGAAAAAAGTGATTTAGTCCTCACACTTATTACCATCACTACCCTCATGTGATGAAAATTCAGGAATAGCATAGAATAGGAATCTGGAAGGGACCTTGGAGGTCTTCTAGTCCAGCCCCCTGCTCGAGCAGGATAACCTATACCATTTCAGACAAGTGACTTGGCGACCAGCATGTCTTTACAATGGTTGCAACGTTCTGGGATCATGTGATTCCCATTTGTGATCTTCCCAGCTGGCTTCTGTCAAGGAAAGTCAATGGAGTACGCCATATTTCCTTAATGTCCAGGAGATTCACTTAACAATTGCAGTGATTTGCTTAACAACCATAGCAAAAGGATCAGAAAATAATGGAAATTCTGGTCCCAACTGTGGTTGTAAACTGAGGATTTATCTGTACAGTATTCAATGAATCTTGCCTTTGTGGTTCATTCACAAAATCATAATTCAGCAGACTATGAGTTAGTTCAGCGGATTAGTGATTTCATATACTGCAGCCTACAGGGTGCAGTTGCATCATGCAGTGCTACCAAACTGGGTGTCATTCTTATAGAATGGAATGCAAAGTATCTGTCTGCAGTGGAGAGTTTGGCCAGCATGTGGCCCCTAATTCCTATTACTTGGAATAAAGCATCCAGAAGTCACACAGCCTTTAAAATTAATGGTAGGTTTCTTGTTTTACCTGGAAGCACTCTTTGTATATGGTAACATGGCTGCTAGAAAATAAAACTATTCAGAATGAGGAGCTGCATTCATTGCTGAATTCTAGCAGACAGCATCCGTGTGATGGGCCCAGTATTTTCCATTTGATTTTAAAGTGTCTCAGATAAAGTGCTGAGTAGAACATAAAGACACATCCAATGTACAATGATTCAGCCGTAAAAAAATTATAATGAAAATTATGTAATTTATTTCAATGTGTCAAGCAAATTGTCCCCTAACATGGGAGCATCACACAAAGAACATAGTTAAAAATCTGGAAACATTTACATTGAAAGTTAGCCCAGACTGGCAACACCACTAAATAGTTTAAGGCTGTATACATACATACATACATACATATATATACAGATATATATAATATATATACTGCTATATATATATAGCAGTACTTACCACTTGGAATTACTTCAGGCCAGAAAAGAAAAGCTTAGTACTGGCTGCATTTCTACATAAAATATTGCAAATCTTTTAAAAATGGTGTAAAAATAGGAAGACTATCAACAGATTTGGAGGATGCAGAGGCAAACCCTTACTATAAATGTACCTAAGTGCACACAAGATTTAAAGATGCCTTCAATCAGTCAATCAGCCCTACATAGGATATTAGGATATTATATAACACTGTACCAGCAATCATCCTTGATAGAAAATACAGGGAAGCCGAACAAATTGACTGCAAGTAATCAATTTAGAAATATGCAGAAGCAGTGATTTGCAACTGCTTGCGTATCTGTCTTGTGTGCTTCAATAAATAAAAGGTCGCTTGGTGGCAAAAGGGAATCCTGGTGAATCCCAGTACCTTAGGGGTTTTGTGACATACAAAATTACCTATAGGACACAGTGCTTACATGCTCATCTCAAAATAATGACACAGTTCAGAGGCATTCTTTTCTATAATGCTTATTATGTCTCAATCGTGTGTGTGTGTGTGTGTGTGTGTGTGTGTCACGGCTATCTTATGTAGGTTGCAAAATTCAGATGAATAGGGGTTTTCTCTATCTTGGCTGCTTTCCAGCAAACATCTGGATTTTTGCAACCCAAATTAAAAAAACAAAACTGATACATAAGCAGGCCTATTTGGCTCACTGACATAATTTAGGGCATCAGCTAATTGCACCCTGAAGGCCTCCAATTTCCTAAAAGTGGCAGGCTATAAGAAATTACACATTATTTATGGAATGTGATGTGCTGTTCATAGGGACTCTAGATGCGACAGCACACACCAGAAGACCCAAGGAACTGTGCTGTCTATATCCGTTGGCTGAATTTTCACATAGTTGCTTAATGTATGCAAATTAACTGATTCCAGAAGACATTTTAATGAATGCTAAAATGTTCTTCCTCAACAAGAGAAGAGATATAAAACAAGTCAGTGGGAACCATTTTACAAAAGAAGTAGATGCATACAATGCTTCAAAGGGTGTACCAATACTGGCTGGTAACGTTTTAACTGCGTCAGAAAAATGACAAGACGTAGAAAACAAAATTGCACAATTAAAGCTACATTTGGCTTTAGCATTAAGGCCCATACAGGTAAAGAGGTCCTTGTGAATGTACATGGAAAAAGGCAATGACACTGATCGTAAGAACA